CCGTCAAGGACTTTAGGATTTGCTCATCGAAACATTCTTATGAAATGAAATTAAGCATGCCAAAATCTGAATGATGTCATGGCAATCTTGTAAGTGGATTACATTAATCATTTATCAGCAAGGCAAGATAATAATTGAGCGAGAAAAGAACCTGGGGTTTATCCCTATTTAACACCCAAAGACAAAGGGTACAACAGCTGAGGATATCAGAAACACAAATAATGTGCATGAAGAGGATTTTTAAAATGTCCACTGAGATATACTGAAATTACAAAGCCACAGATTTTTTCTACATAGGATCTTCTGTTTAACACAGATATTACAGGAGGTTTTCTTAATCAGCTAAAAGGTGACTGTACAACACACAATTAGGAGGAAAACATCTTAACAAATCTTTCATTTAGAAAAAATAGGGATCAAATCAAACAGATAGGTAAGTAAAAAAAACATGTTACAACACAACTGAAAACAAAAATGTTTCCTGAATTTGGGGAGGTTATTTCCTCACTTAGTCTTACGAGTCCAATTTAGAAAAAGCAGGTGATTGTCTTCTGATCAGACAACACCATACAGCAAGTATACCTGCATGACAGCCTGCATGGAACAAATGCAGTAGGACAGATCCGAAAAACAGAGCCAAGGCGAGGTGACCACTGTTTCCTACACAAGGCAAGCACTTTGCAGCAGCCCTGGGCTTAATGGCAGCAGCAGAGCCAGCAGCGCCCAGTAGGGCCTGCTCAGAGAAAGCCCAGACTCAGCAGCACAGCCTCCTGCTCACCAACTGCAAGCAGAACCTTCTGCACATTGTTGTTATTTCTGAATCCCCCAGAGAAGCAGCACCTCAATTCCAATTTCAGACATGAGCAAGCCAAGCCCTACACACGCTGTATGTGCACCTTCTGTCTCAGTCACTCAGTTTGAGCAGAGTTCAGATCAGACGACGTTCAGGGATCCTTTCCAGCTTATATTATTCCTATGACCATAAAAGAGTTGGCATAAGAAAGCTGTTAAGAAAAAAAAAAATCCACAGTTCCCCACACACATCCCACAGACAGTGCCAACTTCCCTCCCCAGCAGCAGAGACAGCACCCACTCTCCCCGAATCCATCGCGTCAGGCAATGTACTGAAAACAACTGGTTCTGTCTGCTTACTGGATCTGAAGTGCATTATGGAGAACAATACCTTTTATTTCAGCCCAGGGAAGACCCAGACATAGATCTCTGCCTGCTAATGCCTCCCCCATCAACTAATATGAATGTCAGTTCATTTTTTAAAAAAGCTTTTCTAATTAAGGTTTATCTAAGGAGTTGCACTCGGTGATCTCTTGAGGTCTCTTTCAACCCTGAGATTCTGTGATTCCATGTGGTTCTACTTAAGACCACAGAAGTAGCACAATTTCAAACCTGATGAAAGTCCCATCAGAATACACGTTACACAAATGCACAGTGATAGTAATGCTGTCATCACAAATTGCAACATGCAGATCAGAATGCGTTAGAAAAAAAAAAGAATAAAGCCTTAGAAAAGCTTAGTAAGTTGAAAAGGTAAATTAGCCCAAGAAGGATTCAGCCAAAAAATCCAAGGATGTGCTGTTACATCCTTGGAATCTGCCATATTTACCAACAGATTTTTCATTATGTCTCTCACTCTTAAATCTCATTTTGACCTCATGTATGATAAGGTGGCTGTTGACTTACAGACGGTAGTTTTTACTGAACTGTTCATTCAAAAAAAAAAAAAAAAAAAGGAAATAATATTTAATTGCTGTCTTACGAGCAAGATTTGATAGACCAAACAGATAATCTATGATGGCAGGGGAGATGGGCATATATCTAAAAAAGACTTTAAAACATCTCATATATATTGAACATTCTGAATTCCATAGATTTCACAGATCATCTCCTTTTGCTGAGCTACAGAAAAACCAGAAATTACTACCGTGGTCTACCTCAACTAGAATTTCCATTGTTTTAAATACCCATAATCCATTTCTTCCACTAGTTTCCTTTCTGATGTACAAAATCCCACTGCTTTTCAGCAAACAGCTCTTCTTGTAGCCTTATTAGATGAAGAAAAATTCTTAAGAATAACATCTAAGATTACACAAATCATCATCTAGGGAACACGTATTAGGACATGATCCCGTCATTACAAGATGGACTTGGTGGACATAACACAGCTGCACCCCTCTTCTCAACAGCATGTCCCTACAGACTCCTTGGAACCAGTCTCATTCCCTCACTGCTCACATCAGGATGAATCCTTCCCCAAAAAAGGAGTCTGTTCTGCAGCCCTGGAATGCCTTGAAGGAAGTCTTCTGCCACCTTGTTTCAGTTCCCATATGCATAGCAAGTGCTGATCAGAATGAGGACAGGGATCACCAAAATGGCTGTCTATGTGAAAACAGCAAATAAAGATTATTCCCCAGATCCTTCAAGTAAAACAACAAACATATGACTTTTTTTTTTTTTTTTTTTTTTTTTTTTTTAAGAACGCAGTCTTATGCAGTGGAAACAGAAAAATACCATTGCACTGCTCTGAGCAGCTGGCTTATCAAATCAATCAACAGTATGAAACAAAACAATCTGTTCTTCAAAAACCTTTAACCTCTACACAATACATATCACACACAATCTGTTGGAAATAATGAGCAGAGGATTGCTTGCTAGATCTCTGATTAAGTAGAAATCTTCATCTTCTGTAAAATGAGAAAACCACATTGAAAAATGCATTACCAGAACATCAATGCTTGACTTAAATCAACAGTAATAGGACCTCATTCAAAGTTAAGCCTCAATTAATCTAGCTGCATTGTTTATGGACAATGCTTACTACGCTGTCTGAAGTGCCTCTATTTTTTTAATTTTTTCAGGGGAGGGCGAGGTAGAGGGGAAAATAAAAGGTCTAATTCTTCTAATTCATAATCTAGAATAAATCCAGAACAGCTACTGTCAATAGCTATCAATTCATGTGCTGAGCAAAGAAATGCAAAATTGGATCTTTAAAAGTTGAGGCAAATAGATACAAGCAGAAAGCCTGAGCACTTGCTTGGTTTTCCTACATGACTTCAAAGCTTATTTTATTTTTTAAAGGGATTGCTAGTTTGGATACTAACCCTGAAAGTACACAGATGCATTAACACCCCAAGGCCAACCTTCTCGGCCAATATTTCTGGACTTACTGCTCCACTTCCCTGCCTTATTTGCCACAAATACTAATGCACACTGAGATGACCTCAAACCAAATAACTAAAATACTGCACATGAACAATCACACTGACCTATTAAAAACACAAAACAAGAAGCTCAGCAAAAGACTCCATTTTTTCGTACCTTCATGTCTTTCATGTGGTTCTAGAGCTCATAAGCACTGCTTCTAAGAAGTGAAAACTAAGTGTGCCTTAAAGATGGGCACAGCTTTCATACTGCAGGCTTTCTGAATTCAAGAATGCAAACGCTGTACATGACTGTGGCTCATAATGGTATCAATGAAATCAGAAGTCAGTTCCTTGCCCAACCAAAATGCATTTATAACCAAAGGGACAATCTGTGCGTATCTTTATTTCCACAGGCTTGTGAGAGGTCGGTCTTGTGTCTGTTAGAAAACAGCTCAACAGTCTGAAAAACATTTATATTTTAAGTAAAGACGATGTTTTAATGCAAGATGAATGCTTCAAGATGCAACTGACAGTGCTCAAGAAAAACTCGGACCAATAAATAGCATGACCAGTACTACACAGCCGACCTTGAGTTGCCATTACTTTATGAAAATCAGGTTAGCCTCAAATCTCACAGATCCCCCAACTTGGATCACACTGTTCCAAGGGAGGCAGGCTGCTTTTGGCTCCGTTTCACATTTCAGCCATTGAACACGCACAGCACCCTTCCCAAAGTGCATCAGGATGATGCATTTTCTGCTCTTGTCTTTTCCACGGTCTCCCACTACAGCTTGGGTGATGCTCAATTACTGGGTATAAATATGCACTAATGCACCGCAGAACCTTCAGCCACCCATCACCTTCATGCACTGAGCTGCCAGGCAGCTCCTCCCCACCGCCCAACACGGCAAAATGTAGATGTGTCCCTCGCTTTTTGTTATCTGCACATCACTAAGATGTAACACACCTGGAGATCGAGCAGGTTCTTTGTTAGTGCCAGCGTCTAGGAAAACAGGGTGCCGCTGCCTGTTTCGGCCACGGGGCTGCAGAGGCAGGTGCAGCCGGAACGGATTCGACAGCAATGCAGTAGAACCTGAGGTGCTGTGACAGGGATATCTTCCAGGGCAACCTGCTGGAGAGCCGCAGGCCGCATCCGCGAAGCAGACGCAAAATCGCCGCGGCACCGGGCGAGCTCCCGTCAGATGGGCACGGCGCGATGGGTGCGCACCAGGGAGCAGAAACGCAGTATCCCGGCCTGCCCTACACCCACAGCAGCTCCGTGCACGCACAGCCGGCGGACATCCCTCCGGTTGCAGCGACGAGAGCAGTCGCGTCTGAAACCAACTGCAATCCTACAGCCCCTACAGCCGATCTCCCAGCCGAGGCCCGAGCTCCCGCATCTCTTATGAGGCAGGTTTATGTACGAGGGCGGCAGCGCAGCCCTGCCCGGACAGTCCCTGCTAACGCTGATCCTTCCAGAAAGAGCCGCAGCGCGCGGGGCCACCGCAACCCCGCCACGTTCGGGCCCGCCTTGTCCCCGAGAGCCGCAGCCCCGGGCACCGCAGCCTGTCCGCCGCTCCCTGCCGTCGGGCACGGGGTGTAGGGGAGGAGGGGCGGTTCTGCAGCTCGGCCCGAGCGGGATGCGCGCGCCGGCCGCCGCAGCACAGCGCCGACCAAGCCACCAGCCCGCGCTCGCCCGCCCCCCGCGGCACCTCTCCCGGCCGCTCCTCGCTCGCGGAGCCCCTGCGAGGGAGGGGCGGCCCCTCCCGCAGCCGCGCCGCTGGGCACCGCCGAGCGGGGCCCAGAGTCCCGCACCCGGGCCTCGGCCCGGCCCCTCCACACCTGGTGCAGATCCGCGCCGCCTCCTCACCACGCGGGGCGGCTCCGGCGGGGCTGGCAGCGCAGCGCGGGGCGGACAGCCCGGCAGGCAGCCTTTCCTCCCGCCACCATCTTCCTCCGGCCGCCGCCCCCGTCGCCAGCGCCGCCCGGCACGGCCCCTCCCGCCGTTCCGCGCCGCCCTTCGCGTCAGAGCGTCCGCCGCCGCCCTCCTGGTCCCGCGGCGGTGCGGGGCGGTGCCGCCATCACGGGCCGCGCCGGTGGGAGGCAAGGAGATGGCGGCCGCCGAGCTGGACCGCCCTCCGCTCAGCGGGCTGCCCGAACGCCCCCGGAGAGTGGGCCGAGCGCGGCCCGGAGCCCGACCCTGCCGCGGGGGGAGCAGTGGCTGCCCGATAGCCGGGGCGCCGCAGGATCGCGTACCTGTAGCCAGGCCCCGGGCAGCCCTTCCCACCCGGCGGCGGGCATTGCACCGAGACAGTGCGTCTCGCTGCACGCGACTGCTTGCTCCCTCTTCACACATACAAACGTGGTATTAGTCATAGGATGTAATGAGTTCGAAGAGAACCATTAAGGATCGTCAAGTCCGATGCATAGCTCTATGCAGAACCACTCAAATCACAAACCGTGTATGGCTAAGAGCATTGGCGGCTTGGTGCCATGACCACGGCCTACGGGAGCCTGTCCCATCAACCTGAGGTGGAGAGCCATTCCCTGACCCCCAGCCTGATACTCCCCTGACACAGCTCCATGCCCTTCTCTCATATCACTGTCACCAGAAAGCAGAGCCCAGCGCTGCCTCTCCACTCCCTATGAGAAGCTGAAGGCTGTCATGAAGCTGCCCCCTCAGCCTCCTCTGCTCTGGGCCAAACAAACAAACCAAAAGACCTCAGCCACTCCTCATATGTCTTGCCCTTTAGACCCTTCGCCATCTCTGTAGCCCTGCTTTGGACTACAAGGTTTTTATGCCCTTTTTGAATTGCAGTGCCCAAAACTCTGCACAGTTGAGGACACATCAGTGCATTGCAGAGAGGGACTTCCTTCCCCTTCCCTTGAAAGGCTAGCAGTGCCATGCTTGATGCACCCCAGGATACAGTTGGCCTTCCTGGCTGCCTGTGCACACTGCTGGCTCATATTCAACTTGCTGTCAACATCCTCAAATCTGTTTCAGCAAGGCTGCTCTCCAGAGTCTCATCTCCCAGTCTGTACGTATAGCCAGGGTTGCCCCTTCCCAGGTGCAGGATCTGGTACTTGCTCTCGTTAGAATTCATGTGGCTCATGGCTAGGCAGCTGCCTATTTTGTCTAGATCTCTACAAGATCTCTACTCCCTTGGTGGAATCAAAGATGGAGCCGGACACCCCATCTGTAGTGCAGGCTGTAAACAGCTGTTGTAATTGCTTCCCTGAGTTATTGCTTCTATGCTTTACAGTAATTCCACATACATAGACAGAATGCTAAAATCCTTGAGATAATGCCTTACATGTATGGTATTTAAAGCAATATGGCTAGATAGTAAAGACTAAAATAAATTTCCCTACAAGGACAGGCTGAGAGAGCTGGGGTTGTTCAGTCTGGAGAAGACAAGGCTGCAAGGAGACCTGCTAGCAGCCTTTCAGTATCCAAAGGGTAGCAGGGTCTGTTGTGATAGAACAACAGGAAATAGTTTCAAACTGAAGGAGAGGAGATTTAGATTGGATATAAGGAAGAAGTTTTTTACAGTACGAGTGGTAAAGCACTGGAACAGGTTGCCCAGAGAAGTGGTCAGTTCATCCTTGGAGACATTCAGTGTGATCTGTGAAGTGCTTAGGCGTAGCCCAGTGCAAACTATCTTAAGGAAATATAGATAGCAGAGTTCAGATTGGATATAAGGAAAAAATTATTCTCTGAATGAGTAGCCAAGGATAGGAACAGGCTGCCCAGGGAATTGGTGGAGACACCATCCACCACTCCTGGAGGTTTTGAAGAAACGTGGAGTTGTATACTTAGGGACATGGTTTAGTAGGCATGGTGTTGATGGCTGGGTGGTTGGACAAGATGATTGATCATAGAGGTCTTTTCCAACCGTAACAATGCTATATGTGGGCTTGCAATTAGTTACTATGATAACAGTGTTCATTTGGAATGTTCACTGCCTTCCAAAAAAGGCTTCCAGGTCCTGTGATATGCTTGGCCGCTCTGTAAGCACAACCATACTTTCATATCTTATTCAAAACACTGCAGTACTCCACCAGTGCAAATTCTGAAAATGAGAGTACAAAAAATATCCATTGCTAAAGAATGGGAAAAATTATAAGTGACTGCTGCTGTTTAGACATCTGGTGCCCTTTCCTCTACATCTATTTTACCGCGACACCTCATTTTATTCTTAATAGTATTCATTTATTGATTTCTTTCTTATCCTGGAGACAACTCTCTGTCTGATGGCTTTCAATGTGAAAATAACAAAACCAGAAGGAGATTTCTGCTCTGTTCTCTCTCTTATTTTATGGCCCTGGTATATGGCCCTGCTACAGCCCCAGGTTACAATTTCACAGGTGTAGACTTGAGAGGCTTTCAAAGCTGTTCTTTACTGAATTGTTACGTTACATAAAGCACTTCTGTCTTCTAGCCCTCTCTCACAGTAATCAAGCAGTAAGAATTGAATGTGATCGAAGTTTGCACTCCTGTAAGAGGTAGTTTTGGCCAGGTGACCCCTAGAGCTCTCTTTCAACCTAGGTGACTCCACTGAAGTCTTATGACTATTGAAGACTAATCATTGCAGTTTTCATGCTCAATTATGCTCAAGAAAAAAGAAAAATCTGTACTATGAATCTTTTTCTTCTTAAGTTTCATTTTTCTCCCATTTGTCTCACTGTCATCAACATCAACAGGTGTTCTTGGGTACAAGTTACTTCTGAACTTGGAAAGATACTATTGTTGTGCAGCAGTATCAGTGCACTTGCATTATCATTGACCTTCTACCTCCTACATGTTATCGATCTGATAGTCATTATTTATGTATCTTTTTTTTTTTTTCAGTTAAAATGCTGGAAGTTGCAATCTGCTTATTTTAGCGGTGAAGCTTTGATTTATGCAACACAGTTTTGCTCTTTTTGAAAATGTAGAAACACTTGTTGGGTTAAGACCACACTTACATGGAATAAATCTCCCGGGTGAATGTAAACTGCCCTTTTAGAGCTGTCCAGTCCACATTTAAGCATAAAAAATTCAATCTCAGAATGTTATAACGTAATGTCCAGCTTGTGATGTCTTTGGTTTCATTAGGTTATATTTACTAAGTCACAGTGGTAATCTGTCACAGAAGCAAAGCAGCCTGATCTTGAAATATTCAGACACTATTGCAATCTAAGCAGTGCTATTTATGCTGAACTTTTTTGTTGTAAGTGCTTTTATCTCCCACTTGTATTTTACTTTAGAGACAAATGCTTAACACCATCCAGTGTGTCAATGGCTTTTAAGACTCATTAGGTACAAAGCGCTGTGCGAGTGCCAGTAAAGCGTCTATTTCAGGGGGAAGAACCTGGCCCAGCTCTTATACACACATCTCATTAACTGGGCCTGGATACTTGAAAGAGAGGAAGTCATGTTGAATGCTTCTCTTTTCAGAAACAAAATTGCACTCCGTAAAGTGCATTAATTGGATTCAGCATGTTTACACTCCAGGTCTATAGATATATCCATTAGCCTAGATAAAACCTTGGCTGTGGCAGCTGAAACATTTTTTGCTACATTGCTCTAGTAATCTAATCAACCTGAATGTATTTTCAGGATCTGGAAATCACACAGCTCAGAGGTCTATGGCTTGCTACTTTCAGCCTTAGGCCACAGACAAGAACAGCTCTCCCAGACTGAACAGACCAGTGGAAAAGTGGAAACTTGACATAGTTTTAAGGTCAGATAGCTCAAGATCTGCTAGGGACATAAATGAGTGCTTTTTACAGTCTGAAAGCTTGGAATTACAGCTTTCATGTCAAAAAGCATCAATCTCTGAAGAGTATTTGTGGAATGTCTGCTGCTAGAACAGCAAGGATTGTTTCAGAGGATCTCCTGATATTAAAGTAAATGGCGTTCGTAACTGGAAATTTCATTTCCAAATTCTGATGAGTGTCATTTTTATTTTTACTTTTTCCTGGAAAGAGAAACCTTCAAAGTAACTCCTCCTTCTTTTGCAGTATCCAGGTCCAATTAATGAGAAGACAGATTTTATTAATAAAATGTTCTATACATCCAGTCCTCTTCCTTAGTTTGTTCTGGAATAGCTATCAGGAGTTCAGAGTTACACCTATGGAATTCTAGGCTGGGATTTACCCATGTCATCATTTATTATAAATTCCTTTATAAAATACGGGTAACATTTTGCCCAGTTGTGTCTGTATTAAACCTGTCGCTAATCTGCAGAACTGGAACACCCTAGTTCCATGGGCATTTTTCCTCATAAATTCTTATGCTAGCATCTTTAAAAAGTCCTTTACATTAGACAAGGGCATCAAGAGGATGCCTAACATTTCCTGTGTCACTTGTATAGGTATAACCTAAGGTGATACTAAAGACATCAGAGATTTTAGTCTGTAAGACCTTCTTCTCCCTCTTCTTTTATGTTATACCTCCCCAAAAGAGCCTGTTCATTATCTGTGATTTGGTATCTTGAAGAATCTTAATTTGCCCCCAAAAAGTTCAACAGAAATTTCTAAAAATCTTGTTTTCTGATGATTTCCTATCATCCCATTGGAGCAGGCATTGCACATGCCAGAAAAGATGCAGTATCATCTAATGAAGAGGACTTTAAACAGACAGCTTGCAAGGAGAAAACTATAAATAGAGAACAGTTGTGCCTTCTGGAGTATTAGATAATAGACCTAAAATAATAAAAAAGTGAAAAAAAAAATTTAATGATAAATAATAGAAGAACAAATAATCTGGAATCAGTCATGTGGTTAATATGATATATGGTAGTATTTGGGAGAATTTAGCAACAACTCATTGAAGAATGTGATTTTGAATATTTGGAAAAATATTAAAGGAATATGATCTACTCAAAGGTCATCTTCAACTTATTTATTTTCTATACACGGTATGGAGAATTTTTCTTCACTATTCCCCTTTACTAGTTAATTAGTTACTATTTTGTACAGTTTTGTCTTTTTCTGCTTTTCTGTGACATGAACAAAGATAACCAAGTTGATGGTAGTGCTTTATATAGAACTCTTGAATAAATCAAATAGTGTACATTCTTCTACAAATAGTGTACATAAGATTTGGACTATTATAACTGAAGACCAACTGCTGACTGAAAAAACCCAGTCCATTAAGACAGAAAGGGTATTAAATTATTTATCTTTCGTAATTTTCAGTTTCTGACCTCTTAACACCCACTGTCTTCACTGATTTATCAATTAAAGCAGTAGTTACATTATCTGTTTAAGATGGTACAATCATGGAGCAGCTGGAAGCATTTTTAATTTTGGCATTTATTCGAATGAAGCACTGCTAGACTGCCAGGACTGTAAAAGCCAAGCAATCTTTTCATGGATTTTCAAAGCATTTATGTTTCTACTCAAACTGAAAATCTTGCAGAGTATGAAGAATAAAGCCGATCTAGGATGCAATAAACTACACCACAGCAAGATTTTCATCTTCCCTGAAAACATACAAACTCGTTTGTGCAAGGACTAATAAAAAGAGAGAACTTCTGCTCTTTTAAGGATATCTGGTCAAGTATCTTTTTGAAACAAAAGGGGATAAATAAACAGGGAACCAATAACTAAAAAGGTAGAGAAGAAATAGAGAGAAAAAGTGAAGAAGAAAAAAGGAAAAAAGAGTCATAGAGTGGTTTGGCTTGGAAGGGACCTTTAAGATCACTTAGTTCTAAACCCCCTGCTATACGAAGGGCCACCTCCCACTAGATCAGGTTGTTCAAAGCCCCATCCAGCCTGGCTTTGAATGCTTCCAGGAAGGGAGCACCCACAACCTTTCTGGGCAACCTGCTCCAGGATCTCACCACTCTCACAGTAAACAATTTTTTCTAGTATCTAGTCCGAATCTACCCTCTTCCAGGCCCCCTTTAAGTACTGGAAGGTCACTATGAGGTCCTCCCAGAGCCTTCTTTTCTCCAGGCTGAAGAGTCCCAGTTCTCTGTCCTCAAAGGGGAGGTGCTCCATCCCTCTATCATTGTGTCCCCTCTCTGGACCTGCTCCAACAGCTCCATGTCCTTCTTGTGTAGAGGGCCCCAGAGCTGGATGCAGTACTCCAGGTGGGGTCTCATGAGAGCAGAGCAGATGGACAGAATTACCTCCGTCAACCTGCTGGTCAGGCTTCTTTTGATGCAACCCAGGATACAATTGGCCTTGTGGGCTTGCAAGCACACATTGCTTGATCATGCTGAGTCTTTTGTAGTTCAGCACTTCCAAATCCTTCTCCTCAGGGCTGCTTCAAAGCCATTCGCTACCCAACCTGTATCTGCGCTTGGGATTGCCCCAACCAAGGTGCAGGACCTTGCACTTGGCCTTGTTGAATTTTACGAGGGGTCTACCTCTCAATCCTCTCCAGATCCCTATGTATGGCATCCCTTCCCTTTAGTGTGCCAGCTGCACCGCTCAGCTTGGAGTCATCTTCAAACTTGCTGAGTGTGCACTCAGTCCCACTGTCCATGTTGCCTACAGAGATGTTAAATAGCACTGGTCCCAGCAATGATCCTCATTCCTCTCAATGATGAGAGGAACACCACTCATCACTGGTCTTCACTTGGACACTGAGCTGTTGACTGCAGCTCTCTGAGAGCAGCCGTCTAGTCAATTCCATATCCAGCAAATAGTTTGTCCATCTAACCTATGTTTATCCTGTTTATCCTGTTTATTGATTAGTATTGTTATAACTCCACAGCATTCTGGTTATCATAATACATTTTAATAGCATGAATCTGTTATTTGGTTAACAGCCTGGAATGGAAATTCTTTATAGAATTATTAACTGCCCCGAAACACAAGGAGTAGAAATAAATCTACTGCAGTGTTAAATGAAGTCTGTTAAGTATATTTTAACATGGAAGTCAGTTTTAAGATATTAAGAACAATTTTTGATAAATGAAAGTTCAAAACTAAACATAAAATAAATGCGAAAGATCACAACTGTGGATCTAAAAACTCGCCATGCTTTAATGCATATACATTTAAAATACTTTGAAATTTTACAAAACTAATCAGTATACCTCACATAACTTTTCATCAAGTTCAGATTAGTTATCATCTGAGCACTCATCATATAGATGGGTATCAGAAAAAACTTCTTCTCTAAAAGAATGGTGAGGCATTTGGCACAGGCTGCCCAAGGAGGTCATGGAGTCACTATCCCTGGAGGTGTTCAAGAGATGTGGATTTGTGGTACTAAGAAACACAGTAGACATGACTGGGATGGTCTGACTTTTCAGTGTGCCTAGGGTACATTAAGCAAGGACCTGTCCTTGGCCTCACAGAAAATATATGAAATAGTTAATTAAAAAACTACTTATTAAAACAAAAAATGAGGGAAACAAAAGCATAAAACTGGTGGGGCATCTGACCTTGCCTTTGTGCAACTAATGCATCGATCTAGTTTGACGGAAGTGGCTGCAATTCTTAGCAAGTTCTTAAAGTGCACATCAGAGATTTTTCATCTTATTTTATTCCTCCTGTGCTTCATCCTTGAAAACAGTTGTTCACAAATGTACGTACTGCCAAAAAGCAATGACAAGAATAAGGTGTGATTGTGAAGCAAAGGATAATTTTCTCTACTAAGATACAGCTTTCAGAAGTCTGGTAGACACGATCAGATTTTTCCTTGAGTTGAATATCTGATTGCAACTCTATACATTCCATTTGAAGATTTGCAGACTATTTATTTATGTCAAGTGAAAACGGAGTTGCAGATACACCAAAAAAAGATATTTTCAGAAGTCTTGAAACCTATTCTAAAATTCTTTTATTACAACAGAAAGCAACACTGCATATTTTTCACTGTTCACAGGACTATGCTTAGCCAATTTATCACAATGCCTACAATTATTTGCCATCATTTGAGCTTGCTATAATTTAGGTTTCATTTTAAATGCTGTAATGTTTTCAAACATAGCAATGATCTGTTGATTTACACCTTGAAGACACACATTTTACTCATTTAAATGAGCAGTCAAATCCACCAAAAACTGTATCACAAGTTACTTAAACTTTTTGTGAGCTTTTTGAGATGCTGAAAATGGCAATTTGTCAGAACCACACAAGTATTTTGTATATTTCTTCTGCAGTGAATGCTTTTAACTCATTATTTTACAAAATAACAAGACCAAATCTTACATGTCTGTTTAATACGAAAAAATGTATGTCATCACAGGCACACATGTAAGTTGAAGGTAAGTTGAAATAATACTATTGGTAATCACTGCCTTTTCCTTGCCAAGCAGTAGCACAAGCACATGTAATACATGTAGATATCAATTCAATGTTGCATGCGGTGGGCATGAGAGGCACTGCACTGTGCTGCCCTCCCTTCCACAGCGTTGTCACCTACGCAATCTGCACTCAAACTATGTGCAATCGACTCATGAAAAATATTGCTTTTTTAAAAAAAAAAAAAAAAAAGCTTAATAATTTTACATGCCTACAATCTTGTGGGGGCACACTATTAGCTGTTCAGGGCTGCATGTGGCCTATGGGCCATAGGTTGGACACACCCAGCCACCAATAAAAGTATTAGAGAACATTGTACCAAGATGGGCCTCTGAGGAATATCACTCATCACTGACCTCCAGCAGGACACAGAGCTGTTGAACGCAACCCTCCAGCCATGACTATCCAACCAATTTCTTATCCACTCAATAGCCTACTCTTCAAATCCATATCTCTCTCCCTTCAGAGATAAGGATGCGGTGCAGGACCATGTCAAAGGCCTTTGAGAAGGCCAGATTGATTACATCAGCACTCTTCCTTTGCCCACTGATGTTGTCACTTCTTCACAGAAGGCCATATCAGATTGTTCAGGCACAATCTGCTCTCGCTGAAGCCATGCTGGCTATCTTGGATCACCTCCTCATCTTGCAAGTGCCTTAACATATCCGCTGATACCTAAATTCGTATAAGATGGCACAGTTCTTGTTAAAATAAGCTTATCAGCAAAAAGAAATCAGGAACAATACGGAAGGATATCTGTTAACAATGAAATTCTACTCCAGGGTAAATACACTGCCACAGAAAACAGTTTTTAGGAGACGAAAAATTTATTTAAAAACTGCCAACATTTAACAAAAACAATTTTACACTATTTTCCATTTTCTACAGAAATACAATAACTTACAGGTGTGCTTAGTATACTTATTACTAATACATACAAAAACAAGTCTGCTGATAAATAAGTGAGAAAAAAAATTACCAACCACCACCACTAAAATTGTACCTGTAAATTCTGGAAGACATCTGCATAGGATGGTTAGGATCCTAAGGATATTCTTTTTTTTTAAATATATTTTGTACTACTAGAATATGTAAAAATATAATCAACATGCAATACAAAATATTTGAGATAAACAAAGTAAAACTCAGTGTGCACAAACGGAAAGCACTATTAAGATGCCCTCCTATGTTTTTCAGAGAACTGAACATTTTATATAGCAAATTTTGATCTTCCCTTTACAGCCAAGCTAAGTTTACAACGTAGAAATCACCATCTGGCTAGATTCCACTACAGAAGGACTAAAGAGTGGAGGAAACAGTAACAACAAACAATTCTAGAACATCTCAAATCAACATTAAGTAGATGCATTTTAAAAAGTAAATTAGGTGTTAATGTTACCTAGTTATAAACATTTGTGAGATGACAGAGTGACAAAAGTGCAGTTTATTGTTGCACCATGAATGTATAGAGCACACTCTGAGAACAGCAGAATTTAAGCCATTCAATATTTATTAAGACTTTCCTCCTTCAATGTTGCATCAGTTAACACGGCACCTTAAAGCCTACGATTCCTCCCCAAGTATCTTGCATGAAACTCAGCCACTGACCTACACACAAGTCTTCATATGTAACACCTCCCAAACTCTTTGTTTTTCCAAACAAAACAAAAACAAAAAACTTTCTTAGGTCTTGATACCTGCATAGTACACACCATGTTTGTCTCCAGCTGCTTATTTAAACCTGTAATACTTCAGAACCTTAACAGCTTCTCTCCAATCACAGTGCTAATGAATATACATTACTCTATCAGCTTTTTTGGTCATGAAGTTGTAAATATGACCATGCCTGAAACACAGAAGTCACTTACAATCAATCACAGTAAATACTTCAGAGCTACCATATGGTTACCGATATCCTTCCTTCAGCAAGGTCTGATCCTTTGTCAGAAAAGTCAGTAGGAATTTTATCCCTCATTTCAACAGAACTTAAATCAATCACTCCTCTCTGTTAACTGATGACAAGATGCATGGGAACAGCACAAGGCTTTGCCACAGGAGGTTCAAACTGGACATCAGGAAATATTTCTTTACCGTGAGCACGGTCAAATGCTGGAACAGGCTTCCTAGCATTCAAGAGGCATTCGGACTGCGCTCTCAACACGTTCTAACTTCTGGGTACTCCTAACATGGTCAGGCAGTTGGACTACATGGTCTCTGAAGATCCTTTGAACTATTCCAATTTGTTTTAAAATCAAGCACTCAAACCAGTAACAAACTAAAATCCAGACAAACTGCTTCTGTGAAAGGAGTCTAAAATTTATTACTTGCTCATACTACGCCTATCTAATTAACCCCCAAAGTTACGTAAATTAAAACCTAAAAGCATTCAAAATGATGAATATCTTCAACAACAACAACAACAACAAAGTAATTTATTTTAATGAAAAGAATAACAAGAAAATACTAAAAATAGCATACCAAAATAATGTGACGTTTAGATTCAAATATTGATTGCTGGCCTGTGTCCTACAGGTCTTCCTAGTCTTCTCTGAGGCTGAAGTACTTCATCAAAACTGAGCCCATCTCTACTCCTTTCTGGAAGACTCACGAAAGTTATCTGGCAAGTAGGACACCAGCTGAACACTACTCAGTCCTCCCAACTTGCAGGACACGACCAGCTCTTTCACTGACTCAAAAATTACCTACAAGCAGTTGGAAGAAACACCACCACAAATCATTTGGTCCATATGTGCACATATTTGCCCAGCAATTGTGGAAGGAAGGCAAAGTGCCACAGAAGGGAAGCTCCTTTCAGTAAATTCAGACATTGGCTGTCATCTTTCTAGATTCAGAGATTTAAGAGAGGTACTCCACAGAAGAGATATGTTCACAGATCATGAGTGTGACATAAAAACAGCTGTATGTGGAACATTGTTCATTCCCGCCCAGACATAACATGAACACAGTTCCTCCACTTACCCACCTGTACATATACATGTTCACCATGGGAAAATAAATATAGATAATTAATTTTTACCAATGACAAAAAAAAGACCTATCACAAAATAGGACCAGTGAAAAATGAACTTAATGCTTTAAAGTCACTCTCCTGTAGAACACTGGTCATTTATCACATTATTTTCCAGTGTTTTACTTTCTCTTTCTGCTACAAAACTTTGTATTTATCTAACTTACCAACATTGGAGAGCTCCATAAATTTTACAGTGGTCACAACTGTGTATCTGAGAATATTTCATAGAAAAAAATTTTGCAAAATATTGTTTAAAAACTGTTTTTTTCCTAATATGAAAGCCATGAGAATTAAATATTTTTTTCACATATCTTCATAAAATAAACATTTTTGCCCTATATAGAATAGTATTTGATGTATATAAGAGTGCTACAAAATTAGTGTTTAATAGCATACTTAAATACTATAGTGCTATTACTATCATTAATCTTAATGCTACTTAAAACTATTTAAGACATCCATTATTTTTTGTTACATGAAGTTAAGAAGACATTTCTGATCACATTTTACAAGATGACTACCCAGTTTTAAACACAGACATTTCAAAAAAGAGAAACTAGAACAAGAGGAAATGAGCATGTTAGATATAAACATATTTTGTCTCATAAAACCGAATTTTGGTACCTTGTTTAATTTATGTGACTCTTCTATATGTAATAGCATAATCAATACCTTGTTGTTTTTTGTTTTAAATCAAAAAATACATCAATTCTTCACAGCCATTCAGGGTATCTTACTGAATTACTGATGTACCAATTTCAAAAGCAACTCATATGGATACCTTATCCAAGAAAATCTCTTTGTTTTACCATCTGTGTGCTCTAATGAGAAAACGTGCTGTGAATATAGGCACCCTCTTGTTTGTTGTGGGCTCATCCTTACCTCCACCTACAGTAGGATTAGCAGCAGGTTTGAGATGGTGCAGATAAAGATGCTTATTAAACTTCAGGTAGGAGTTACACTTTTCAGAACAGTTACATCATGCAAAAGCATATGCTGTCAGTAACTAACAGCTTTGTTAATTCTAGTATGGACTCCTAAGAAAAGTTAATAAATAAATAAATAAAGATCAGAGCCACACATCGTGTGCCAGCACAGATAGGAGTAAAAAGCATCCCCGTTATTTCAACTATGCTCTTGTGACAGACTGAGTAGCTTACTGAATTGTACTAGGAGGCATAGAGAAACCCAGCAACTGCCTGCAAGACTGCAACAGTAATTTAAGATACAGAATAAAAAATAATGCAGATGAGATGCTAAGGTACAGTATTAGTGTGTGGTAGACATAAAACACTATGCTAGACAAAAAATGTTAAGTCAGTTATTACATGTTTAGCAATTATGTTTTCTTTTTAAATCAATAATTATAAACTCTAAAATTGTACCCTAATTCACTATGATTGACTATGCCCTGAGAAGGAACGTTATGCACTAAATAAAAGCCACTAAAAGGGTTAGGTTTATACTTCAGAAACATCAACTGTCTACAGGGAATTTCTTGGAAGCACACATTTCCCCCATTTTGTAGTAACACACTGCTTTTTCAGAGGAAAAGATCAACAAAAGTTTATGGCAGTTTTCCCAACTTTAACAACAGCTTGAAGCTTTTTTTTTTTTAACTTTTTTTTTTTTTTTCTTGTCTTCTGTCCTGCTTTAAACTCTTCCAGGAAACTAGATGGCTCTGTAGGTAAAGCTCTTGCTTTCCACCACTGAAAGATCTAGGCCCAGCATGAGGCTTCAAAAAAAGCTGAGCGTGACAAACTCCCCATACAGGCAATAACAGGAAGAACCTTTCGGGAGGTAGGAGTTATCTAAACATGAAATGAGGCCACCTCACTACTCCTTTGCTACATTCTTCTTTTGCTGGTTGGAAGAACAGACAAAAAGTTTGGGAGGAAGCACACTCTGAACACATGGGAAAAACGAAGAAAAATCATCTTAGCCAGGGACACTGACTTTCCTGTGAAGCTAACTTGACCATTAAGTGCATTTAAGAATAGGTGATTTATCTTCTTTCCTTGATACAACATTAAAAAAAAAAGTTCTAACTGTGAAGAACTTTTATCCCCAGAACAAGACAAACATATAAAAAAAATCACATCTACATTCCACTTCACTGCTTGTTTTCCAAAACTGCCCAACAGTTGTTTTTTTTTTAAATCCCCACACTACAGTGCAAAGACTTGCTTCCCATTGGATACAAACCCCCAACCCCAAAGAACATTATTCTCTCACAGAAGGCAAGACAGCAAAAAAACCCTCAGAATCTTGCACAAAAATTCAATCATCATGTCTCTGAAGACTCACTGCTTACATTATTCTGTAGTAGTCACATTTTATGCATTGTAGTATTTGCCATTCTGAAGAATGCTTGTGGAGTCTGCCTAGGCAGACAAGCTCTCTAATACCCTTCATTTCTGCTCATCAACAGTACTACACAGTACTGTTTAGAAATTACTTATCTGCTTAGTAAAAAATTCACTCCTGCCCACAGATTCTAGCTACATATTCTAATAAAGTAGGACTAGCACAAACTGGAAGTGCTGAAATTCTGATCGTAAAACAGATTCTAAGCTTCCTTACTATGTTACTTTGCTTATTTATCTTAAAACAAGCTAATTAAATAGTATAAATTAGCAATTTACTTTTCTCCATATTTAAATGTCACAAGAATTTGACTGTATAAAGAATGTGTAATAAGTCAACAAAACACTAATAATCAGGTAGGAGGAGATTAACAAATACTAATCTGAGCAGCTATAGTGATGTGTTCTAACATTAACTTCATATAGCTTTACTGAAGTTATGTCTAATGCTGCATGTGTTGTTCCAGTGATTGCAGTGCACAAGATAATAAAAGCCAGTAAAATAATAGCTAATGTAGTAGCAGCAGAGAATTCAACCCATTATTACATCCATTCTAATTTCTGTAGTTTCAAATTACGTTTGTTCCTCAAAACCTTTTCTTCTAGCAGAAAAGAATTTCTACAAGAGTTAATCCAGTGAGCAAAAAGAATTTGCATCAATGTAACGCACATATTACAGTGGGAAAAAAAATGAGTAAAGATGCTGAACTTTGTAAGAAGATGCTTAAAGACTGTACACAATTGATTTTCTAACTGAAGGAACTTACAGAGAATCAACACTTTATATTCTGCAGCTTCTGTTGGACATTTTCTCCATGAGAATGTTTGTTGACTACATGAAAATATCCTAACCTCTGAAACAGAAAGTGCATTAAACACTTTACTTAATCTGTACTCAGCAACATCTATATATGTTAACTACCAATGTCCTGAACCACACTTCTTTCTTTTAAGTTGTGTCCAAGACAGACTCTGAACTAATACTGAATCAGTATGTTCCAAAGATCACAGTTTTAGAACATCCTACAATTCTGAGTTTAATACAATCTGCTGGAAGTATCTTTTCAGTCACCTCATGTAAGAGACTTCAGGACACTGTCAGCCTGAAATAATTTAGTTACCTGTTTTCTTCTTCAATATAACTTAAAATAAAAATGAAATATCAGCTTACAGTTTGCATGTCTTTCAAAATGGAAAATGTGACTTGTTTCAATTAAAATCATTTTTATTGTTTAATTCTTTGTGCGGGAAAGTCTGGTCTGAAAACACCTCTAAAAGCAGCAATTCATTCAATTAAAAATTTGGGAGCATTTCCATCAGGTATAGGTTTCCTAACTCTGGCCTCATACTACAGCCACTGATGTTTTTTATGCAAGTAATGAAAATACCGGCAACATCTATGATCACCATTCTCAGAACATGTTCCAAGTATGGATGCGCAATGCAACTACTGCAAACATTCAAACCTTGCTGCTGCTGACAAAAACTGGAACTGAACACGTGCATTTGAGGGCACCTGTTTGATACTAAGTTTGATCTAAGTTTATGTCACAAAGGTTGTCAAATTCAATAGCACAGTATCTCCATGACATAGCTCTAAGAAAGCATAAATCTTGCAAGCTCCTTTAAAAATATCGATTAGTCCAGAGCAAGAAGAAAGCATTTCTTCCACAGTTCAAGAAATACTTTGTATCCTGCTCCCACATCCCAGTCTTCTGCTGCTTGCTTTTATTATTCTTACCAAGACGTAATTTTTGCAAAGGTAAACAAAGAAAATACAATTAAGTTACTCGCTAACTTCTCAGTGACCATGAATATGGTCCTTAACAGACTGCCACCAGATGTCATGCTTTCCAAGCTCATACTAATCATTAATGGGGTGTCTGTAATCAAGCTGACTGAGGCTACTGCACATGCCTTAACATACCTTTAATGCACAAAACAAACTGTGTCCTCTGGGATGGGTGTAAATTTTTGCTCCAGTTAAGTTCTTCAGTTCAGACTCCAGTTTGCACTTGAACCTACTCATCTTTCAGTGTTCACACAGAAAACACCTCGTGACATAATAATCCTCTTAAGCCATACCCATACCTGTTTCACACATCAGTTACGTTCTTCTGCAATCAAAACCAGCAACCAAGATGCAACCCAAGCAGCCAGATGATATATACAGGGGCAGATGTAATTGCTCGTGGAGAACAAAGCTTTGCCAGGAAGATCCTTCAGCCTAAATCAGTCTTATCTAGGTATTATAAACACAAGAGCATATATTGAGAAACTTCTGTTTGCTACTCCACGGCTGAAATGAATTATGAACTTCTCTAAGACTAGAGATGATCAATTCTCATTTTGAAATGCAAGAGTAATCTTTATCCACCAAATTATTTAGCACTGTTGGAATTCCACGTCTCAAGTGCTTTTCTTCTTTTCAAGTGATAATTTTTTGAGCAGGCTACATGTCTTTTAATTCCACTTTCTTGTTCTTTCTCTCTGCCCAACAGAAACAGCAGCTTGAAACTCATTGTGGTAAGGAGGCACTTTGGGCAGGAGAAATAAATAGCAATTTTGGCAAAGACTCTAGCTTGAAAATTTCATCCCCTTGGTTAATATTCTCTGTTTGGAACAGGGGTAATGCTGCCAGTGTACAAACCTCTAGAGCTGTACAACACTTTCTCCCTTAGAAGTCCCTTATAAAGACAACTCCTAAGGAAATGACAAAAAAAAAAAACCATTCACGTTTAATTTCACTGGAATAGAAATGTGTATTGAATCCCCTTAAAATTTATAGTTACATAAAGAGAGGTTGTATGGTTGGAGAAGTGCAGTGAAGAAAGAAGTCACAGAAGCCCTGCAGAGGAACAGAAGCAAAGAGATAGTCCCGTCCTGCTGTACTTTTTTGAACTGTATAGTCTCAACAACCAGGCAGCAGAATTTTTTCACTGACCATCTATAGGGCCTGTACCGTCGTGGTGAAGCATATGTTATCAATGTGTGACACAGCAGGCTGAGATTCTGTAGTGTACATAATACATTCAGAAAAGTATATCAAGTGTCATTAATTCTGAACTGTTGAGGTAAAATAAATAAATAAATACACATTTAGAAGTTAAAGAAGTCTGCTCTATGAAAAATATTTCCAAATATAGCTCTGACTGTTTTTGCGTGTTTGTGACAGAAAATACTTCATTTTTCTTTTCAGAATTTCAGCTTCAGAGACTTTCTTATCAAACTCATTTAACAACTTATAAGGAAACAAAAACCTAGTCACAATAAAATGGAAGGCATGACTCCAATGCTGTTACTTCTTTAAGGAAGACACTCTGCAGCCTGGCATTCTACCAAAGGTAGCTAGTACAAAAGTAATAGTAGTCACTGAATATAGTCTGAATCCTTTAAAGTATGAGAAAGATCTAGTACAGCAAACAGAAACTACCTGGAACCAGGCTAAGCTGGCACTGACAGATCCTCTTATTCTTTTTCCAGACACTGTTTCAAAAGCAGACAACTTTTTTCTTTCCCCTTCTTTTCCTTAAAAGCCACACCATTCAGAGTCCATCTTAATGCAGAAATTAAAAATAAAGATAACAGCATGGTAGAAAGCTGACATAGATAGAAAACCAGTGACTTCTTAAAAAAATGGAAGAACAACAAATGGCATTTGCTAACAAAAGATATGCCTGTTCTTTAATAAATAATGTGATAGACTTGTACTCTTTAAGTTTTAGGACTGACCAGTAAAAGAGTGAGAAACACACAGTTAGCAAACACTTGCAACCAAGACATGCAGCTGTATCTGAAAAAAAGAATATTGCACTAAAAGAACTCTCAGGGCTTTAAATTCTTCCTTCACTGACCTAAAAAAGTAACTAACCATTTTCTGTAAGCAGTAGCAAACCTGGCTTGGTCCACGTCTCTACAAGTTGATAAAACTTTATCTATAAACCTGTATTCCATTTCTGGGCCAAAAGAGTCCTGCATAGGAGCACGCTTTAGGCGTTTTGTTTCTTGGGTATAACCTTGTTTGCTGCTGGATTCACTCAAACCATCAACATCCATAGCTTGTGCCATGTGGCTTGTCGTGGGATTGGGGTGTGAATTATGCAAAGTTTCATCACTGCTGTCCACAGATGAGGCCACCACACTCAGAAGAGGAAGTTTGTTGATAAAGTGGTGCTGAAGGTAGAACACACGCCTCCTTCAGAGGAAAGGGAAGAAAAAAAACAACGAAACACATGCTGATAATAATCTGGAGTTGCTGCTGAAGAGCAGAATTTGCCATCACTCCGTATTACTCAATACACAGCCAAATAGTTTACTGAATGCAGATAGAGCAAATGTGATAACCTTGTGTAGAACTGGAAATTAACCATTATATTGATTATACCAATGTGTTAATCTCAGTAATAAAATTTGCATTACCATCCAGCAAATTATTCCTTATACACTGTTAAATAAAATGTAAACTTCACCTCTTTCACTCGCTAACAAGTATCAATGCACAAAATCTGCTGTCACAGTTCCCACACTACAAAACAAGCTTCTCTGCTCAGCCTAGACAAAACTTTTTGAAGAAGCCAGCAGGAATTTAATTACAGAAAGCAACTTTTGCATGTATATGCTTGCAGGCTTATAAAATCTGCACCCCCGCAATCCCCACAAAAAACTTCTGCAATTACAAAATTAGGTAGGAATACAATCCTAAAACCAACTGGCCTTGGATTTTAAGAAAAAGGACAGATTTAGCTATTGGAAAAGGTGCTGCATCTCATGCAGCACATATTTCTTTGGTTCTGACTTCTGTAACAGCACATATCCACCTTGTTCAACTTTGCCACTGTGCTTTCTAAGTGAGCCAAGCCTGCTAACCAAGAGAGTGGATCACAGCCAAAATCATATGTCTATCTATATTCATATGTTTTGGTAGCAAAAGAAAAAACAAGTCTGTGTCACTTTGGCAAGCTTGCTGTTACCTCATCAGGTATATATACACAGCTGGCAAAGCAGAAGTTTTCTACAGCTGATTCTTCTTCATGTTTCTTGCTACATCTTTTAAACATCTTAAGTGTGAGGAGGCACTTGCACAGACTATAGGAACAAATGGAGCTGATGCTGACAAGATACTTAACCAAATTAAATTTTCCATTCAAAAGCTCTGATTATTCTCTTGAATGTTTTTCAAAGGCTTAAAACATAGTAGCTTAGAAATTGTTAACTGAGTGGTACCTTTTTAAATCGGAAAAATAACTAATTTGGAAATTCCAGGCAAAGAATAATCCAGTAACCAGAAGGATGCTCTTTTGCCAAACTCCTCTTACCTATGACACCACAAGGTTTCATGCCCCGGATAAGTGTCAATCAGATCAGTGCAGAAATCCAACTCCTCCTCTAAGTAGTGGGAGATATCCACACTCTGTTCCTCCACACAAACAGCTTCTGCTCCTTCATATTTCTCCTCCGTTTGAAGACTAGAATTTTGCTCGTTTCCCATTTGATTTTGTACCAGTGTATTATCATCGTTCACAGTTCTGCCTATCAAGGACTTGAGTAAGAACTGGCGGTAATGAAATCCACTGTGGTCTGAGACGTGCATAGAAACCCAGTATTTAGTGGAAGAAAGTTCATCAAGAAGAACCTGAAACAAAAAGCAGCAACAGCTATCAACCAGAGTAAAGAAGAAATCTACCACCACTGTTTTTTTTCTTGAGGTCACCTCTCCTCTGGGGTTCTCAGTGAAACAGGCTGCCCAAGGAGGTTGTGGATGCCCCATCCCTGGAGGCATTCAAGGCCAGGCTGGATGTGGCTCTGGGCAACCTGGTCTAGTGATTGGTGATCTTGCACATAGCAGGGGGGTTGAAACTAGACGATCATTGTGGTCTTTTTCAACCCAGGCCATTCTATGATTCTATGAGGCGATGGTTTTCAAAGCTCACAGTCAGCACTTAAGAACAGAGTAAAATGAAAGAAACACTGAACTTTTCCCACTGTGTAATGGCAGGTATCTTGGCATCCATGCACTAAAGAAACTATATGTATTATATAATTTCAAAAAAACACTCTAACAAAAACATTTGGAAACAAGCAATGATCAAAACCTCCAAATGGCTAGGTATAAAGACCGCAGCAGTGAGAGGTAGAAAGCACACCAAACTACATGGATGTTACTAATTTGAAGTACTTTAACTTTTGTCTAGTGAATGATTAATGTAATTAAACTTAACACATCAATGTATGAAGAGACTGAAAAAGGAAAAAAGATTTACAGTATTTCATACTTTCATTTTCCATAACACATTCAAAGTCCTACAGACTGTGGAATACAAGAGAATTTGTCTGTAATTAAGATGCTTCATTTAAAATAGGTATTTGGTGAAGTCTCAGAAAGGCTATCAAAGAACTAGGATAAATGCTTCCACTATTGACTGCAGCTGTATTTATAACATAGCTGGCATCTAATAATTTTATCTTAATTGACCAGCAGCATCTTAAATACTACTTTTCTGAAAGAGTTGTCAGGCAGTGGAATGGGCTGTCCAGAGAGGTGGTGGAGTCACTGACCCTGGAGGTGTTTAAGGAGCGTTTGGATTTTGTGTTGAGGGATATGGTTTAGTGAGAACTACTGGTGATAGGTGGACTGGATGATCTTGAAGATCTTTTTCAACCTTGATGATTCTGTGATTCTGTGATCTTATACATCAGCAAACTGAAACGTACTACTGAGTAATGTCCTGTTACTTGATGAGGTCTATTACTCCATGAAGTTGGTCACTTAATAAATAGGAATGTAGCAAAAGCAGAGGTTTCATACCATTGCTGTCTGTCTTCAACACCAATGATAGGCCTTAGGAACCAGGAATCCCAAGCTGGAGGACTATGACTGCTGTAATGGATAAATTCCTAGCCCAACCCAAACTTGCATATAATTTGCTGGTTGAGCTGGATGCAGCCAAACACTAGTAGTTCCCTAGGGTTCCACTTTCTTCAATGTTTTTATAAACGGTCTCGCCACAGGACTTGAATGCACGCTAAGTGTACAGGTGATACAGGGGAGCAGTTCTATGATTCTGTGTTGACTCTGATTCTACATTGACTTTCTCCAGGGTAGAAAGGCCTTGCAGAGAGATCCTGAAGAACTGGAGGGCTAGGTAATCTGCAACTGCATGAAATTCAGGAAGAATAAGTGCTGAATTCTTTATCTGCGATAGAGCTATCCTGGGTATATCTACAGACTGAGGTCCCTAGATGTGCTCAGCCCAGAACATGGCAGGCTGACAGGAGGCCTCATGGTGGCCTACAGCTCCTCACACGGAGCAGAGAGGCAGCACTGAGCTCTGCTCTTAGACAATTATATGATAGGAGAGAACAGCATGGAGCTGTCAGGGGAGCGTGGGGCTGGGGCGTCAGGAAAAGGTTCTTCACCTTAAGGTGGTGGGGCAGTGAAATGGGTTGCTCAGGGCAGTGGTCACAGCACCAAGCTGCTGGAGTTCAAGGAGCGTTTGGCCAACACTCTTGGTCCTAGTGTTTGATCTTTTGGGTGGTCCTGTGTGAAGCTGGACTTGATGATTCCTGTAGGTCCCTTCCAACTTGGAATGATCTATGATGCCACACGTGGAACTCTTAAGGGTACTAAAACACCTCATTCCCAGTTCTGCAATTCCTCTATTCTCAGGTGAACTTAATTTACTGTTTTAAATTCCCAAACATTAAAATTTTAAGATCCGATTAAAATCAACATAAGACCTAAGAGTAACATCAGAAAAATCAGCAGGAACTGGTACTACACCACTATAACCAACTTAGATCTCTGGATAATCTGATTCATTTAAGTGACAGGCTTGTAAGCTACAAAGTTACAGGGGAACATTATAATTGGATATTTTTACTTGCTGAATAAAACAAAGTAAACAACAATTCATAGCATCATTCCTTATCTGATCCAGAAAACCTGGTTTAGAAAAGCACATTTTTCTTCAAAAAAATTTACTTTCTAACTCTGACTTCAATGTTACTTACTTACAAATTTTATCCTGAATTTCATTATATCTTTTATGTTCCACATTTTCCTGATTTTCCTGCATCTAAAACAACTAATGTAAAGCCAATTGAAGAGATGCATCAGTGATATCATGAAAAAAAAATCTAAAGTCAATATGGATATTTTAAAATTCTAGAATCAATATGGAAGCTAGTTGGACAAAATCAGAGGAACTATCACTTCCTCATTAACCAAGCTAAAAAGAAGACCAACAGGAAATCTGGGGGCAGCTACCAAGGCAGGCAGAGTAGGGAACAATCTAACAAATTTCAGACATTTTTTCACAGATTTTTTTGTGACATAACACAACAAGCTCTGACAAATACCAATGAATTAAACCACCAGATAAATTCCAACTTTGAGAGGAGTTATTCCTATCAAGATGCAACTATATATTTACTTTAATAATTAAAGAACAGCAAATGCAAAAAACAATCATGGTGTTATCACAAACCTCAAACTACTGTCAACTAGAGCACAAAACTACTGAATCTTAACTAAAAGTGCTAGAATTTTTTGCTCTTTTCTCCCTCACACTTTTAATGAACTTCTCAAGGATTTATGTAAATATCCCTATTTCTTATTAATAGATCTCTAAGTTATATCCTCCAAGCTATCCTAATCTTGTAACACTAAGTTTTCCACATCTACGTTTTCATATCTTACTTAGCAGATGAGTCTGAATGCTGGGTTGTCTCACTCAATAAGTCAGGAGCATACTTGCCATTTACTACCAATATGATCCAGATTTTTCTTTTTTAAGTTTTTCAGGTAAAAATTAACAGGAAACATCCAGTTGCTAGCAGTAGTTGGCCCATGAAACTTAACAATAAGAACTCTTCAGACTGAGCCTCTTCTAAATTTCTCCCCTAGTACTGCTGAAGATTTACCACAAAATACTGTCACTGATTATAAAAATGCTAGCAATGTGTCATTTTATCAACTTATGAATGAATAATGAATTCACCTATCAGCTTAGAAACCACACTATTAAAGTGTCCATATAATTTTAGATCATCTCACAGTAAATTAATTCAATTTTCACGGGTCTTGTTTTAGATACTACTACGTGATATGAAATATTCTATTGCATCTAAGTTTTACATATATTGAACATTTTATAGGTAATATTCACATAGTAATATACACTATACAAGACTACTGGAGCTAGAATTGCCTCGGCAGCAATGGTCAACGATCAAAGCTGCTGTTGGAGTTGAAGAAACTCGTTATTAGCACTACTATGCTTTCTCTGTAATTCTGCTGTCTTTACTTAATACTTCAATATCCTGGCATGATAGAAAAGCAGAATAAGGTAGGAAAACAAGACATCACATTACAGTATCAAAACAATGTAATACCTGTCATGTGTTATCCTTTTCTTTTATTAGGAAGTTTGAAATTAGTGTTATGACTAATATTTTTTTCTTCCTTTTTTGTTTTAGTTCACATAGTTTTATATCTATTCTCCATCACTGAGTACCAGTAGATGAACAAAACTTTACTGTACACAGACAAGAAAGATCTTTTTCTTTCCTGCAGAACAAAACCTGCCTGCACTTAGCAAAAACACAAACCAATATATACTGCAATATTTTGCCATTTTTAGAAAGCACACGTTAGCTGCCTGGACTCAGCTAATACAACAGATCAACAGTAATCCATCCACGTCAGGGCATCTGCTTGGCAAATCACTCTCTTTTTTTTAATACTTTCTTCTTTTTTTTCTTCTTCTTTTTTTTTTTTTTTAAACAAGGAAAATTGAAGACTTTACTCATTATTGTATTTTACCTTGGTAGTCAGCTTTCCCACATGCTGTAAAACCCAGATGCGATGGGACCAGGCATTGTAGTTGCTTGGGTATCTCCCAGCAGCTTCAGAGCAGATGTCCATTTCCTCCTGCACTAATTGGTGAATTCTCTCTGCAGGTGCTACTCCCAGGTTTCCTTTGTTCACAAGAGCAGGCAAGGAGTCTTCCTGAATTAGCTGCTGCAGCACCCATCGTCTGGTTAGGGTTAAACAGTGTAGAGCATTAGTGATGAGAAACCAATTTTTAGAGAAAAACATTGTTTTTTAATTTACTTTTTTTTTTTAAATCAAGCTTTTCTTAGATTTTCATTATCTGAACTATGCTGCAACTAGATGATGAATAAGAAAAAAAAAAAACTAGGAAACATAAGCATCTGGATTGTTCCCATACTGTAAACGATGACCTTATGATCATATCAAAATAATTTAACTTCTGCTATATTTCTATATTTGTGCACCATAGTCATGTCTACTTACAGCATGCTAAAAGGAAAAGAAAAAGAAAAAAAGTTATGAAAACAATGCAAAGTCTGCATGTGATTTCTCATGAGCTCTTCTTTTAGAGGTTTGTACAATACTAAAATAATGTTTTAAAAAATAGGCAGAAAAAATGACTCAAGAAAGATATGAACTGTACTTTATGTACATTTGCACATTTCTCAGTAGTGAATACTGCAAGCAAAATTAGTTTTTGTACATCATCACCAGAGAGAAAATGCACAGCATTGAAGGCTTCAGATGCTATGAGCAAAACTGAAAAAAAAAAAAGTACTTTACTACTGAATTATACATAATTGACTTGAAGTCACTAAGAAGAACAGCTTTGTATGTGGCTTTTCAATTCTATTTTGGATTGACTTAGTATTTTTAGATGAGAACTGCATTATGGGAGGTATATACCGCCAAAACATACATCTGCAGGCTCTACTGAATACTGTCAATAATGGCAGGTATCCACGAAGCAGCATGTGTACAGAGAATGGCAATGGGACTACAGAACAGCCTGGAAAGCTGGACATCCTTCAGTGTGAGACACTGGAGTTTTTCTGTCTTGTACCAACTCACACATCAGTTGTAAGAACATTTAATAGCTACCTCATGAAGGTGCAAGTTCAAAAATTAAATAAATAAAATTGAGAGTTCTACTTTGCAATTCATTGTTCATGAAATAGCGGAAGAATATAAAGAATTATTACCATTTTGCTTTTTCTTCCAGATGTTTTAAACAAGATTTAAACTGTCGGAAGACAATACTAATAACTGTAAGCCAAATATTATCATCTAGTATTTCTAACTTCAATCAGAAAGAAATAGGGAATTCTAGATGTATTTAGGCAGGAAAAGTAACCACGTAAAGTCATCTCCTTAATAAAAGGTAGATACTAATTCATTATTATTGCCTTCCAAGGAAAACCATAAATGAAAAATAAAAGACAAATCATTTTGATATTAATACTGTTATTATTTCTATTTCTTAAAATAAAGACTGTTTATAAAATAACGAATTCAGAAAAAAATGAGCTCATAGTCTCTGTGGCTTAAATTAAAAAAAAATCTGAGCTGTTCTCTTGGCTTTTTTAATGGGAGGAAAGAGCACAACCTTAGTTTTTAAATATGTACTTGGTACCTGCTGGCTGTCATGGAAATGAATTCTTGGAAGTTACATAAATTCTCTAATAAATTTGGACAAAATGAATCTGATGTATTGGGTCACGTCCTATTATTATCATTATTACAGTTCAAAGAATTAAAGAAAATGAATGCAGAATTATCCAGTGACTGTGTAATCAACATGTACACTAACTTTATATGCACAAGAACCACCTGAAACTCTCCCAAAGTGGCAAGACGTATGGCAGATATTTTGGCATCTTTAATGAGTGCATTTGCCATGTGTAAGAAGCTGTATATGTTCAACACATTATTTCATTCCTACATTCTAATATTTTTTCTGAATCGATATGTAAACTAAGGTAATAATACTCTATAAGGCAGGTAATACCTAGCAATATTTCATTTACTATCTTCTGTGTAAACTTCAAGAATGTTAAGCCCATTCATTCAAAAAGAAGAGTTTACCAATAACTCCTTTGTTCAAAATTCATGTGTTATTTGCAAGACTGAAACTTTACTTATGCTTTTGATAGAACAGGAATCCCCTAATGGGATATCAACTTTATGGTTGTCTCAATACTGGATATGTGAAATGGAAATATTATGAACTGCCTTCTAATGTACTCCATTCAAATATTTTGAAGGTTGTCTGTAAAATAATGAATAATAACATGAAAACATATTGAGAAAAATCATGCACATATCAAGAAATTTTATCACAAATTGAACTATATACCTATGCTTCACTCAGGTGTGCTACAGACCAATTCACATATACTCAGTCATGATTAAGATAGTTAGCTATGTGTGTTCAAATAATTTTGGAGTTAAATTTTTCAAAAAAAAAAAGTACTCTATTATCTTAATATTTAGTATTGGTAATTTAATGGCATTGAGTATGTTAGAAATGATAAAAACCAATTCACCAAACCAGAAAGATAAACAAAGAAATGGAAGTCAACGTCAATTTGGGTTATAAAAATTACCTTGTACAGATTCTCGTCTTTATGAAATGTCTACAAACAAACAATACAGCAATAAATGTGGAGGAGCAGAGGAGAGGAACTCACATTGCTCTAATATCTACTGCTGATGAAATCAGAAATCTTGGGATGAGAATTTTAAGTGCTGAAAGATATGAAAAATCCTTAGGAAAAATTATCCCATGTTCAAAGCTTACTGCAAAAAAAGATTCCACAAAGAGGTTCATATGACTTTAATTCTAAGTGTAGAGTACAGAAGGGGATCTTCAAAAGCCAAAGGACTGAGTTTCACAGTGACTGGCTCAAACACTCCACTGTATTTCTAGGTGTCCTCTTACATCTAGCATTCTCCTTAACCCAAACACAAGGGAAAAAAAAACAAACATCAACAACAAAACACTAGAAGGAATATTTAACTCTGGGGAAGCAACGTAAGGCAAAAGAAACAAACCTATGAATCCACGTTTCTGGACTCTTTGGAAACTTGGTTAGCGCCAGTTTTCCAAGATGTAAATCTTTAAGTGGACTTAAAGTGCCAGAAAGTATTAATTCTTTCCTACAAAAGATAACATAAATTTGTTTGAGTAAGGAACATAATCTGAAAATAAACCACAAATCGCACACAGAATGGCTTTTTTTTTTTTTAAATATAATAGAATTTGATAGATTAATCCATTGCACTCAGGTATATGCAGGCACTGCTATTCAACCACGCTCAGCAAAATAAATCCCAGTCTCATAACTTTATCTTACTACATTCAACCCATTGTTACTGAACTCTTAACAACAAGAAAAAAATCACTAAGTCAATTTTTTACTCATTATTATTATTTTGAGTGTGGCTCTCTATCACATTTTCTGTTACTAACAAAAAAGCCACAGTTTGGGCTACATGTTACGCCTGCTAACAATAATGTTTTTACTGGTAGGCTGTAGAAAAATCTTAATAACACAAATTCCTTCTCTTTTCATTAACACAAGGACAGCTAAGAGAGTTACATATACATTTAAACATCCTTTCTGTAATTCAGCCTTCAGAACACTCTGCAAATTTGAAAATACTTTTACTCCTCCAGACAGCCTCCCCACACACATTTAACTTTTTCACACACAGTTTTTAAATATGGCTCAAGACACAGTATCAAGGATTCCTAAATTTAGAAGGAAGGAATATTCTGCATGTAGAATATTTTTCAAAATGACTATAAAGGCAGAAATCACAAAATTTACTCATGTGTAAAATGAGTAATTATTTATTAAAATTAAGCAAAACTTAATGCTCATTCAACATAAGCTTTCCCAGACCTCCTACACAGACACAGTAGAGCGAAAGTTTGTATTTTATCTTTTTCTTCCTTCTTTACACAGAGTTCCCTGCTTCACATCTTGTTCGTTTTTCTGAATTTAGAATCTCCTTGCCCCTCCCAAGGGTATTTGAAAACATCAGCCTGTGACTGGTTATTGTAAGAATGCTTCTTTCCACATCCTATACTCTGATCTACTTTAGAGACACTTTGAAGTAAAGATAGAGAGAATTCCAGTTACATTATAATTACAGGAAACACGCCTTTCTCAGAACCTTTAGTAGCTAGAACTAAAAACTTAGCAGTAGCAATGTTGGTATTTTTATTTTTGTTTCTAAATAACATAGTCTTCATCATAATGACACGCATGGCACCATCAAAATGATGTGCATGGCAACAGGTTAAGTGAGAGGTGCACTATACTGTGTAGGGTACTTCTCCCATTTTCTTGGTGGGGATGGAGAGAAGCTGGTAGTATGGAAAAAGAACTGCTATGAAAAAAAACTTAACCTACTATTTCCTGTAGGAAATTATCTGAATCTCTTTTCATGTGCTTCATATTTTTACTGACACTTCTGAAGTCAGTGGCATTTCACAAGAAAGGTTTGAATTTGAATTTTCAAAGCTTCTTGTTATCTGATGCTTTTTGGCTTTTGATCAATTATAGATGCCAGAAAGCACTTCAACAAGAACAGTAATATCTATGAAAATTTACTTCACAATCATTTACATACATGCTTTGGTCATTTTTAGCTTAAGAAGATTTTTCAGCTTCTAAAAGCAGATGATAAATTATGATCAGTGACTACAAGCATCTTGTTGCACATTCTGTATAACAGGAAATTCTATCTCAGTTCAAGAAACAACACATGCCTGCTATTTCTTAGCATGCTTTCCTACACCACACAATTAGCTCTTGCTCTGTTCTTCCTGCTTAGTTTCTACCCCTCTGCAGCTTCCCAGCTCCTTCTAATTAAAATAAACACCTAACCTCTGTGGGCATATTACAACGTTTAGAATAGCTCCAAAGAGAGGACAGATTATTGGCTCCTAGCCAGTTTCAAATTTTACATTCTCCAGTCCATCACTAACAGAACTTTCTATGATTGCCAATTCCACTTAAATGTTCACTGGCCTTCCATACTGCCACTCCAGTCATGCTCTGCCAAGCCCTGACCCCTTTGTAAGGAAAAGCTTTTCTCTTCCTACTCTCAAACCCTTTTCCTTACTATCCAGGCTCAATATTGTTGGATCAATCACTATCTGCGAAGCTCTCAGTGAAGCTCTCAGCAGAGAATTCAACGTAGGAAACATGGATAATCTAAACTTAAAATGATGCAATTATTAGATTATAGGAAGCACTCTATGGGAAGAACTGCTGCTGTTAATCTTTTTACTTTTAGGCTTAGAATCTATAATGCTTTTTTCCCCTTGCAAATAAAACAGGGAATTTATGTGTCAAGAACATAAGATAAATCTGGCACAACAAACATCCTCTGTGCAAGATGAAAACAATCATCCCACGACTGATCCATCATGTTCTGCAAGCAGAGAGCAAGTCCCACGTAATTAGTTCCCACTTTAGTTTCCTTCACAGTACAAATTTATCTCCAACAGATACTGTGCTGAACACAGCCTGCCCTCTATGCTGTGACTGCACATACCATCCTTGTTTGGTTAGCCTGACCTGCAGTGTACTCGAGGGAGGCTGAAGTGTGGTTCTTTAGTTTGAGCTGTGCCATTATGTACCTGCCCACTCTCTGAAAGAGCCACCTCCCAGCAGCAGCCTGAACCAGCACAGGTCCAGGTTCAGAACATCAGTCCTCCAGCTAAAGCAAACGCAGCGATAAATCCCTCAGATAATGGCTGCAACAACATCACCTTCACTTTGAATGTTACAAAGACACACTACCAACCAAGCCACCTTGTCAAGAACTAGAGGCATGGCCATCCTCTGTAGTCATTTGCATACTGGCAAATCATAAAATTCATCTATATTCTTCAACATTTTTATTCGATTTGCAATTTAAATTACATATATAAACTGCACACGTGAGAACAAGCAATGAGCAAGTTCTTTTAGCTGTTAGGCAGAAAAAAAAAGTAAAATCATGGATGCATTTATGTTTATACAAACAAAAAACAACTGAAATCAGTTTTAGGTGCCATAGGATTACATTACTGTAGGAGCTCTAGTGTTTATGCATGTTAATTCCTTTTTATTACTTGAAAGCTACTCAGGGGTATACATTTTCAAGACAGTAAGCCCTTTGCTACCACTTTCACCTGCCTCTGTTAGATTCAAGATACTGGAAGGTACAAAACCTTGCAGAAGTTTTCAGCATTACACCAGCAATGAAAGAAAAAATCTGAATGTGCCATCAAGGCTATCCACAGCCATCATCTTTTTGTTCATTTTCCCTACAGAAAAAATGAACTTTAACTTCGAAACGCCTTTTATATATTTTTAAATTAGTCCTCCTAGATATTAAGAAGTTTCTGTCAGACTTCCAACCTCCTACTATTTCCGTAAGACTGTCTCAAATCTTACCTTGGAAGCAGAACATCCTCTCACCTGGGAGATCTATACAAAAATTATCTGCTTCAGAACCCTGTGAATACAGCTTCCTCCTCTTCTTTTTGCAGTGTACCTACTGAGGCCTGTTCAGCTTTGATAACAACACTAAATTGATCAGTTATCTCAAAAGGACTCAGATATAATATTCAATGAGGGATAAAACAAAAACAATGAAAACAGAGAGCAGGCATTAGCTGGATACCATGATTCAGCAAAAACATATGCCCACCTGCTTCAACAGACAGAGGCAAGGAAAGTAACACTTTCAACTGAAACAAAATAAGGACCTAACATGTATTCACATGCTTTAGCTGTACTGAAAAAAAAAAAAAAAAAGTTTAGAATTATTTGTAGCACATGCAGGATAGAAGAGATTCAACATTCCTTCAGTGCTCTGTAGCTGAGAAGCTGCTGCTCTATCATTAGCTACCACTAAATGCAGAGTTTATGCTGACTTGCTCATTAAGGCCCAGATCATTCTGATGTCATTTACTGAGCACAACTCACCTCACATTCCAGGCTGTGGTGAAGTCTGGATTCAGCAGCAACAGCGTACATGTGGTATCTATCAGCTCTAAAACGAGTGAACAAAATATACAAAGATTAGCAATGGTTCACATATTCTAGTGGTCTCTTTGCAATCCTTTAGTCCCATCCTTCATTAAAGTCTCTCCTTGCCTGGTTGCCATATCTATGTCCATCTCTACAGAACACGGAATATCTCATTTTGGAAGAGTCTTGCTAACAACTTTTGTCTAAGAAGTTTGCAGCTGGAAATTTCAGACCACAATCTGTATGCCTAATTATCTACCCAGATATACCTATACATCTATCTATCCACACAGATATATGTATAGATAGATACACCCATATAGAGATATAAATATCTACTGGGTTAGATAGATTCACGTGTATTGTATACCCTCAGAGATGGACAGTGACTGCACTGAATCCTTGAGTATACAATAATGTAAATTGCAGACATACTGAATGTATTAAAGAGAATTCTTCAAAGAAAATCCAACAATTTTGAAATGAGACAGTAACATTAAAAGTATACTCTTATTATTTCTGTACAATCCTGAGCTGCAGATATGTGCTACTTTTATACTATATAATGTACAGTTACAAAACAAACAAACAAAACTAGATACTGTAGCAAGTTATACCTAGGAAAACCTAGGGAAAAAAAAAAAAAGAATTAGGATCACAACATAATTTAACTATCCACATGCACATACATATAACAGAAAACATTTTTCAGTTCATTCTGAACTGACAGCCTTGCTTCAGACTATGGTATTATGGATATTCCATACCATATGAAGTCGTTCTCAGCAATATAAGTTAGAGAAAAGAAGGATGCAAGAAGGCACATTCAGAGCGATGGTGTTTGCCTTCCCCAGAAGCACTCGCTTTCCTGGGAGGGGCTGAACGTCTTCCTGCTGACGGGAAGTATCACATTAATTCCATTTTTAGCTTTGCTTGTGTGCATGGCTTTTGCTTTACCTAGTAAACTCTTTATTTCAACCCATGAGTTCTAACACACCTTTCCTGTTCCCTCCTCCACGGAAAGTGAGCAAGCAGCTGTTTGAGTTCCACCAGGGTAACAGCGGATCCTAGAGGCATCTCCACCTAACCCTGAGAGGCTAGAGACTGCCACATGTTGATTTTCCTTAAGCTCCGCTCTCAGGACATGCAGCTTCAGATCAGTTACCCTGTCAGCGTCACCACAAATATCCAGGCTTTTATTGTCAACAAAGTTTGGCTACATTCTCTCCTCAACACTCTGTATTTAAGAAACTAAATAAACTGTACTCCAGGTGATTTCCAGCAGATCACTTACATGTCAGAGAAATAAAAAAGTAAAAGAAAGGAGATGGTCTTGTGGAACTAAATTATCTCTAACTGGGTCTCTGGCTGCAAAATTACATTTAAAAAACCTACCAGTGACATACAACAATAAAGGAGCATATTACTTCAGAAAGTACAGGAGATCAACTTCACCTACCTTTTTAACCAAGAAATTTCTCTGAGAGTACAGTACCTATTGCATATTACTGCATGCTTGTTTGCTCATTCATGTCTGACAAAGTAATTTTGTGTATCCTGTGTTTCCATGGGTTCTTGCCCAGGAGGACTATGTTATGTCATTATATGAGGGCAATATACTCGTAAGTGTGAACTCACGTAATTATACTCACATTTCCTATATGGTGAAAGGTAGTGAAAGACTATGAATTACAGTGAAGGAAAGTGAAAGGTAAACTTCAAAACGTAGGATAAGAAATAGAGCAACAACAAAATGCTGTGACAAAGAAGAGGTTCTGAAGAGGTTCTGAATTAAGACATAGTGTTTGATTTTAATAATTGTTTCAGTAATCATTAGCTACTGTGACTGCACAATCTAGGGCAGAAAGGATATATCCAGCAAAAGCTTATCACAGCCCAGTTCATTCTTTCAAATTCTTTCAAATACTTTTCAGAAAGAGTATTCAGAGACTATATGACTCCATGTAGAATACAGTTTGTCCTACAAACTCATGTCTGCCCAGTAACCTACTATGGTGATGTCAAAGGCTTGGAACAGCACAGAATCATGCCCAATCTGAGCAGTAGCTCATCTATCATACTGTTTTATATAAATGCTTGGAGATTAATGAATGAATAAATAAAAAATAAAATCACTGTATCCTGAGTATTATCAAAGGAAAAAAGCAGATGAGGAAAACCTCAAAGAAATATCTAGTTCCCTTAGTTTGATCTTCTTCATAGTTTTATGCAGCAAAGAGCAGATGTAGATTTCACAAAGCTTGAATTTCCGAGCCAGAGATGCCAAATGACAGAATTTTAGAAACCTCTGAGCCTTCTTCCATAGAAAGTTGTATGACAGATCTAGCACATAATGTCAGCAGTTGCCAGATTGTTCTATGTCAATAACAAAACTCGACTTCATTTAAATTTCAAAAAGCACTTTCAGCTGGATTTTATGAAGAATACAGCATCCTAAATGCTGTATCCAAGGTATCCTTTTGGACATGGGAAGTCTCTCCAGACGGAGAAGGGCAAGTATGACCAGATTTCTAGCTCCTTTTTATTTTTTTCACCCCAAACATGACTGTATCCAAATTTTTGTTTTTGTACATACATTATACTAACATGCTTTTCAAACAAAGGCTGTTTTAAAGGTGGATCAATGGGCTTAAGGGAAGTAATGATTTTGAGTACATGCTGAACAATATTTTGAACAAAAAGAGAAGATATTTGTAGCAATTTCAGACAACCATTTTGTGATATCACAGATAGTCTGCATTCAAAAGTTAAAACATTTTGAAGAAAGGAGAAAAACTTCTAAACTAGAAGACCAGCAAACAGACATGATTTTGGATTCCAAGAAATCTTATTCAAACTTGCAAAAGAAACCATAATAAAATTAAGCACCTGTCCCAATACATTATCAATAATTAACTATCAACTATAGTTAACTATTAATTAACTATAAAGAACCAGATATTTTTTCCAGATCTTGCTAGAATATCAGATGAAATCATAACACTTTAATCAGGACCCAATTTTTCTTTTCTGTTTGATCTAAAGTAGCTTCTGGTAATTCCAACAACACAAAGAAAGTAACAGGAGACTGTATTTGTGATCACTGTTTATTAACAGGTGTCATCAAAATATGCAATTGAGTTTTGCAGCAGCCATAATTCTGTACTTCCACTACATCCAGAAGAAAACTACCTTGCCAAACACTCAGTATGTTTTATCTACAAAAAAGGATTCAGAGGAAAATCCTTAAGGATTTTGTATTTCTAATGTAAAGAGCTTAAACTACATAAAAAGCAATTCTGTAGGTCAATCTGGAAAATACCTCTCTCCTCATGCCCTCCAAAATTTTTGCTCAGTTTCTGCTACAATTTAATGGTAAAGCATATTAAATACTGCAAGCTACACAGAGCTTCCAAACGTTATTAACATGGTGGGGTTTTGATCATGTTTTACAATAGTTACATAAAAACTTGGTAGACATGGAAATACTGCAGGTTATCTCTTCTCAAGCATTTTACATTGGCTTTCAATAATTAAAGAAACAAAGGAGAGGACAGTTTCTCTCCAAAGGATTGAATCAAGTGAGATTCAATCAACAAATAGGCAGTTAGCTAAGTTTCACACTACTCTGGTTATTTCCTGACACCATTTTATGACCTATGTTTTCAGAAGGGAGGATCTGAAATGCTTCATCTGGGTCGGAAGCAGAAAAATTTTCTGAACAGCCACAACACTCTTGTCATACAGTGTCACCACAAAAAAACAACTAAACCTGCCTAAAAGGGTCAGTGTGTCATCAAGTAAGATTCCAAATGAGAAGACTACAGAAAGAAAAGTTTCAAAGCTGACTGCCATTGAAACCTGAAGCCGTGACAAAGTTGCTTAAACTACAATTATCCTTTCTCATTCTCAATTTAAACAAAGTCACTTTGTAAACAAGTATCTCCAGACCACACTGGTTCATAATTCTTAAAAAAGTACTCAAAATAGACAAAACTATACAAAAGAATTTTTCATGCAAGTAAAACAAACTAAAAAAAAAAAAAAAGAGAGAGAGAACAACAACAACAAAAGAAGAAAAAAGAGAATAGAGTTTTACAGTTAAAAAGTTTAACAAGTTGTTTCAACAAACAATTTCTGGTACCCCTACGTCCAAATAAAGCAATGCACTTCTTTCTTACTTCAGATCCACATTACCACAGATGCCTTTCTGTCACAGTACATCTTTCCTTCTGCAAACAAGTAAGACTACTTTCCTAAATCACTCATGGGAATAAGTCATCTCCCTTCAATACTTCCAGATTGGGCAAGAGAAAGGATTTTTTTGCATTTTCAACCAAGAAACAATAGAACTATCTCTTGTGATGCACAACACAAAGCCAGCTTTCCTCAGGTTTCATTCTTCTTTTAGAACAGGTTGAACTGCATTTAAAAAGGGCCAATGTCATGTCAAAAAAAAGGTAAAGAACATAGCTAAGAATCAGGTGCTATTTTCTCACAGGGTAACTTACCATCTTTGTTCAGCCATTGTTTTCTCTGTCTGTAGAGTAGAAGTTTGTTGTGGACATATGGCAAAAGAAACTTGACACACCAGCTCTCCACACCAAGCTTGTTTTCCACCAGGACTATTGGGCTCCGGTTGTATCTTGCTTCAGGACACGGTATTAATCCAATTTCATCTCTTAAAAAAAAACAAAAAAAAAAAAAACCAACCAACCAACCAAACAAACAAAAAAAACAGAAAGAAATGCAATTAAATTTATTTCCAGTATTTGACAATTATTTTTTTCTAAACTTCAGCTGTCAACCCATCACCTTTCTCCCTGTTTTTACCGAAGTCTGTGCTCATTATTATCAATTCATCTTCTTATTTCCTCCCAGACTTGCAGGTAAAATTAAACACATTTTTAAGAAAGTAATCTGCATAATTACACAGTAAATTAACTCAGCAAATAACTGATGCAAACACATTCTTGGTACGATTAAAGACTTAAGTTGAGAGAAAAAAAAAAAAAAAGCAAAAAACCAACCTCTTAACATTTCACATTGCTTTGCAATTTATTCAGGTAGTTGCGGTTTTAGGAAGAGTCTCTACAAAAATTAATATTATGTCTGCAATGCTGTAGCAGGAGAAAAATACAAATACTTGAAGGCATGCTGAAGAGTCTCAAAGTAATAGTCATTATTAGATAAACAAGCATGAATTCAAAGTCCTTTAAACGCCATGTTTTTTGTTTGCTTGTTTGTTTTGTGTGTGATTCTGGACTTTCTCCACTTACTCAGAAACGTTATATTCTCAAAAATTCGGAATGGGGAAGGTTCTTTTCATGTATTTACCGTATCATACCTTCAATCAAACATCTAGAAATAAACAAAGGATAGCCACAAAAATTCACTCTCAAACAAAGCAGAAGTGTCTCAAGCTTTTTAGTTTCATGGGGCCATATTATTTTTTTCCTAAGTTTTTCATGTATATGGACGGTGAAAGAGCGGTTTTGAAATCTTAAAAATAAACAAAGACTGTCAATTATTCATGCTCACTTGGACAAAAAGAAATACAATTCTACACTTTCTACTACGCATGACTTCAACATCAAATTCTGTTTAATGGAAAAAAAAGAAAAAAAAAGGAATGATAACGTACCTTATTTTTCTTTAATATAAGGTCTGTAGATTACATCCCAAGCGTTGACCTCACAATCTCAACCCAATTACCACACACTAATTTTGCTACTGGATAATCTGAGTGTACTGATTTAGTTCAGTGTCCTCAGTAGATTATTACTAAAGCAATTGAAAATGACACCATGTGTTTGTTTAAGAACAAGTATATCTACTTATTCAGAAAACTGATTTAATATGTCAGACAGCAAAAGAGCACAAATAACCTGAAGTAAGATACTTGCAAATTACTTGGCTCTGTCTCTAAACACACGCCCAGGTCCCTTACCCATCTCTTCTCCAAGAAGAGGAAAACAAAAACAAAAACAAAAAAAAAAAAAAAGAGGGAAACTCAGTTTTACTACCTACCAAACTGCAAGCAGTAGGTGATTCCACCCATGTTGCTCCACTTAAAAAAATTAAGCTTTTCACAAAGATATTCAGGTTAGACTTATGACATTCCAGACTAGACTTATAATGACATTCCAGACTGATGCTCTGATTCTTTCAACATAGTGCCTTATAGACTGAAGTTTTGTGCTTGCTGCTGACTTCGTTTCCTTTACAAAGAGGAGAACTCACTGTGGCTTTCCAATATTTGAAGGGACAGTATAAACACAGGGGGGTATGACTGTTTACATGGGTTGATAGTGACAGAACAAGGAGGGGATGGTTTTAAACTAAGACAGGGGAGTTTTAGATTAGATATTGGAAGGAAGTTTTTCACACAGAGGGTGGTGACGCACTGGAACAGGTTGCCCAAGGAGGTTGTGTATGCCCTATCCCTGGAGGAATTTGAGGCCAGGCTCTGGACAGCCTGGTCTAGTGGCTAGCAGCCCTGCATATAGCAGGGATTGAAACTAGATGATCATTGTGATCCTTTTCAACCCAGACCATTCTATGATTCTGTGATTCTGTGAAATGCTAAATTTAGTCCGCATACAAACTTTGCTCTTGCATGCTGTAACACACAGAACCTCAGAGGCAATGAGCACACAGCTTTGCTAATTAATTCTGTGAATTACCACAAAAATTCATGAGTCAATGCTTACAGACACTCCAGCAAAGGCAAATAGCAAGGGAAAGCAAATAAAAACAATCCTACACCCACACCTTCAGATCTCAGCAAACAGAAGCTTGACTCAGAAGAGCCAATTTCACAACACAGCCTTAAACACACCATGACAATTGGTAGGTAGGGTTTGCAAAGAGCTGACAAGTCAAACACCTCAACTCCAGGACATGCTCAGCAAGCCATAAGAGGCAGAGGACTGTACCGCTGCCTAATGAGAACTATGAATACAGTACAACACAAAAAGGTTTATCTGGTAAATGGTGTGCATCTTCCCCAAGATGCAAACCACTTGTCATGTGGTAGAAACATTGTCTACAATACTGTGGTTTTGTTTTTGATGTTTTGATGGGTGGATCATAAACCTTACAAAGCATTCTGGGAAGGAACAGCATTTATAATTCAAAATGCTAGAAGAGCCGGTGCCTATCTTATGTTCTAAACAATTCAGGCAAACCACCATCACTCCTGAAGGCCTCTTGGGTCTGCAGGAGCAAGTAATAGAGTAGACTCTTCATTCATTTTGTCAGCCCAGCAGATTATGCTTGAGAACACTTGCAGTCTCTGCATCATCATACATCCCAAAAAAAGTTTCTGCAGCAGGATTCACACACAGGCACCACCAGTCACTCAATTAGTCCTTGCAAAATTAAATGACTTAAGTATCCTAAATCTTGCGCTAATAGCCTCTGGTCATACAATCATCTTGGTCGAAAAAGACATTCAAGATCAAGTCCTACCATCCACCTGACCTACTGGGTCCCATCACTAAACCACGGCCCTTAGTCCTACATACGCATATGTCTTAAATACCTCTGATCACTGGGCAATCCATCCCAATGCTTGATCATCCCCTCTGTGAAGAAATTCTTCCTAACATTCAACCTACACCTCCCAGCATGAGACAGTCTGCTTATATCTATCACTATCACTAGTCACTGGAGAAATCTACACCCTACCCTCCTGCAGCCTCTTTTCCAGTAGCTGTAGAGATGACGTCTCCAGCCAGCCTTCTCTTCTCCAGACTAAACAACCTTGCTCTTTGTAGCTTGCTTTCCAGTCTCTACACCAGCTTTGTTGCTCTTCTCTGCACACACTTGAGCAACTTTGAGTACAACTCTTTTAGTGAGAGGCTGCAAACTAAGCACATGCTCAAGGCGCAGTCTCACCAATGACACATTCAAGGGAAACAATCATCACTTCCCTACTCCTGCTGGCCATGCAATATCTGACGCAGGCCAGGCTGCCATTGGCCTTCTTGGCTATCTGGGCGTACTGCTGGCTGCTGACCAGCACTTCAAGGCCCTTTCCTGCCAGGCAACTTTCCAGCCGCTCTTCCCCAATCCCGTATCACTGCAGTAGCCTGATGTGACCCGAGGGGAGGACCTGGCACTTACAGCTGTTGCGTGTTGTGTAACTCTCCACGGCCCAGCGACGCAGCAAAGGAGTGCCTGGTCATATTGACAGGACTGCACAAACCAACTGCAGGATTTAAGGCGATCATATTTACGTACAAGTTGCTCACTATACTGAAGGTAATGGCAATTGAAAGCTGTGGTTCTTTGGTCTCCTACTATCAGAAGCACGACCTACTGGTAAACTAATATTTAATTAATGTTTCACTCCCTAGATTCCAGTTTTCTCTTGAATTTTAGGATACAACTTATCTTTGCTTACAGTTACTTCCCAAATACAAGCACCAAAAACTGCACAAATTATCTTTGGGTTTACAGATCCAAAGACAGAACCCAAAACAGTAATTCACAATCACAAAGTACAATACAGAAGCTACTAGAACTTGGCACATGAATTCATCTATGTTATCACCAAAGCTTCTTCAACCTGTTCTGAGATTGGAGAAGCTACGTAAGAATAACATCCTATGAAGCATGAAGCTTCACTGTACATACCTTGTGCACAGTTAAAATCCCAGCTGTGGCAGCACAATGCTGACAGGCAGTTGCTGAATATGCTTCTGCATTTTTTAAAACATAATCTTTCAAATAACCCAACCCACAAATAACTCCCACAAAGAATTAGACAGAGGATACTAAGTAATGGTTTAGAAATTAGAATGACACACAATCAAGAGATACTGTTCAACTACAGTTATACAGATAACAAAGACTGGATCAAAGAAGTCCAGAACATTATTACTGCAGAATAGTTAACCAAGTATGAACAGCTTTTAATACTGGATGTCAATTTACAGCATGGACATTTGGGATCTGTATCTTTGTGGTAAAACAAGTCTAATGAAGTGACTACATGACTAATTGATTTACAAATTTTGAGAAGTGAGGAAAAGGGCTTTCAAAATACAAGAAAAGAAAACTTTTCTTGCATTATCACGTCTACCATACACATATGATTCTCTTTCAGAATTTCCAATAACAATTAGCCTTTAACTTATTGGTACAACCAAAATCTTTCATAAATGAAAGAATAGTAAGATATTATTGAAATCCAAAGAATTCCTAGCCTGTATTTGTTTCTAAATAAAGTATAAATATCAGACTAGCATTATCTAGGAGTTTCCTTTTGCTTGTTCTCACATTAATCTTCACTGTGAAGTTCTGCACTGATTATCCTTCCCACTAAATACTGCAAACAAATATTTACTACAGATGGCAAATTCATACATATCAATGCCGCATAAGTTATTTAACAATTTAAAGGGAAAAATATTGGCAAAGCAAACTTCATATTTAGCTAATAACTTAATGAAGTGTTTTGGGTTCCTAGAGGAAAAATCTGCAATCACACCAAAAGAAACCTTGATTCAGTTTCAAATCTATGAGGGCGGCTCAGAAAGTAATGCCTTCTATTTAATTATGATGTTCCACGACATCAGAGGCAGATATGAATGGCACGGCAGTAAAGGCTGAACCTTCCCACCAATATTTCATGCCAGCAGGCCACTGTGGATCAAGGAGCTCCTTGACCTCCTTAAGCACAAAAACAAAGCCTAATAGGGAGTGGAAGCAGGAATGGGTTAACTGAGAGGATGACAGAGATGTCATAGAGCAGCCAGGGATTAGGTGAGCAAAGCCAAAATCCAGATAGAATAAAACCTAGAATAAAGACTGGCAGTCTGGTGGAGTTCCCACTGATTGGAAAACGGGAAACATAACCCTCATTTTCAAGAAAGGAAAAAAATAAGATGCAGGGAACTACAGCCCAGTCTCAACTCTGTGCCTGACAAGATCATAGAGCAAATCCACCTGAAGGCCATACTAAGGCACACGGAAAATAAAGATGACGTGATTGGTGGTAACCCATACAGCTTCACCATGGGCAGGTCATACCTGACCAGGCTGAGTTGACACTTTTCAGCCTGGAGAAAAGAAGGCTCTGGGAAGACCTCATAGTACCTTCCAGTACTTAAAGGGGGCCCACAGGAAAGCTGGGGAGGGACTTTTATAAGGGCAGGTAGCAACAGGACAAGTGGAAATGGCTTTGAACTGGAAGAGGGTAGATTTAGACTAGATACTAGAAGAAATTATTTACTGTGAGCGTGGTGAGACATTGAAACAGGTTGCCCAGAAAGGCTGTGGATACCCCCTCTCTAGAAGTATTCAAGGCCACACTGGATGGGACTTTGAGCAACCTGGTCTAGTAGGAGGTGTCCCTTCCTATAGAAGGGGGGTTGGGAACTAGATGATCTTAAAGATCCTATCCAATGCAAACCATTCTGTGAATCTGTGATTCTATGATCACACGTTGTTGCTGTGTTCCTGATGTCAGGAGAGGGGCAGTCTGACACATTGGCATCTGACAGGGAAGTGTGTTCGGAACAATGGTGTGTCACTCAACTCCACCATGTGAAAAAATTATACCCACTGACATTTTTCAGTGTGTGCTGACCATTTATGGGGACCAAACAGTGAATGTGAGCACAGTAATGTGGTGGGTGATGTGTTTTTGTAGTGGTCACAGTGACAGTGGGTCACCTCTGCTGGCACAGATTTTTACGAGAATGGCATGCAGCTTCCTGTTCACAACTTGTGAAATTCAGAGCTCATGGTGGTGACTATAATGAAAAATTGTGTTTTGTAGCTGAGAATGTGCTCTATCAAATAGTGTTACTGTGTTTTTGTATCTGTTGTAGCTTCCATGGGAATAAGTAGAAGGCATTACTTTCAGAGCAACTTATGTAACAAAATGAAGTGTGTTTTTAAACACATTAAAAACACCAGGAGTGGAGACAGGAAAAAGTGATCTGAGCTACAGTGATACTGACATACCAGGGAAAGTATCCTCAGATTTCACACACAAATGCTGGGTTGTCCCTTCCAATTACGCCCACAAAATTCAAATAGGTTTTTGACAAGTGGGTCTTTTATTCTCATTGGCTTCATAAGCAGAAGAAAAGCAAAGTTCAAAAAGAATGCATGCATTGATGTATTTTGTGTTTACAATCCATTCAATCCCAGTGGGATAGCTCATGCAAATGCTTTTATAAGATCTATGCTGGTTGGACTTGGTAAAAGTACCAATAAATTTCACAGTCTTACAAAAATTGAGAACTAGCAAGTTGACACAGTTAGCCTGCAGAATAAAATGGAGCAATCAGACAGATGAGGTAATATTAAATTAGTGTTGTGTATTTAATTAGAAGTGAGCTTGCCTTAAAAACATGCACAATCTTGCTCCACATCTAATTCAAAGCAAACAACAACAAAAAAAAAAAAAAACCAAAAAAACCCCAACCAATAAAACCTAAGGGAGAAAAAATGATGAAACATCACAGTTAGCCTAAAACTGTATTTTACGTGGTTTTCAGTGTTCACCAGAGACAATATCCCCTTTAAACCATAGAAAGCTGGAAGCTTGCTAGAACAAAGCATCCACCTCTGACATGCATCAGGAGCAAGTGAACAAAGAATCAAAGACATGGGGCAACAAATGCAAAAGAGCACCTTTCAACTAGACAACAGAAGTATGAAATCAAGCACCAAGCAAACCCCTTATTTTCACTGAAGTCAGATGTCAATAAAAGAATTCAAATCTGGATCCATGACACAAGTAGGCCACTCAATTGAAAAGGACAGCATTTGTAACAGACTGCAACAGACCACAGCTGTCTTGGTCAATAGCAAGAAGACAAGATAACTCAGATCAACCAGAACATCTGACTGTAAGGGCTGCAGCCTTCTGCTCCAGATGTAAACAGGTGTGGTAGCCAATGGCCTGCAGCTTATCCTAGCCATGTAAATACTGGAGTTCAGAAATCCAGCAGGATTTCATGCCTACCTCAGGAGGCAAACTAGCAGCAGGTCATGCTTTCTCATACTAAGTATGATATAGTGCATCAGTTTCAGGGCACATAACTATTGCAATCTACTTTCATCTCCTGGACTGAATGAAAGAAAACAATACCAGCCATGTATTCAAAAACACAGACTCTAGGTTTGCTGTCAGGAAACAGTTTTGGAGGATGAGTAGCAAGCAAAAGGATTCTGCAGATTCATTCACAAATACTGTCTGTTTACAGTACATTATGCCTCAGATACTAAAAATGAAACTTCATGGCAAAATGCTGTTCTTTTTTAGAAAGTACCCATATGCTGTATTTTAAAACCTGGCCACCTACCCAAGTGGTTAGCTGCATTTATGGAAATACGAGGATACTCATTCTAATCCTCTCTTTCAAGCAAAATGATAAATTAAAAACTGCACATAAAGTTTTCCTAAATAACTGCTTAACATGCTATTTTCTGGAACAGATTAATAGGCCATCGCCTTGGAGACTACAGCTCTTCCATCTGACACAGAGCACTGCATTTACGTTACAAAGTTCTTACCCGTTATCCACTGCTTCATTTGTTCCAACTAATATGAAATCTGGTTCGATAGCAAGATGCTTCCCTAAACAGCTGGCACCTTAAAACAAAGGACAGCAAGCGGAAACGGGAGCAGTACAGGAGTGAACCGTTCAGCGACAGGACCGAAAATGAAACACGAACCTTCTGGCTCTTAGGCGGCCAGATAAACCTGGTTCTCGGAAGACAGCAGTAACTGCTCTGTCCTACGCAGTCATCGCATTCGTCTCCCTCCAATGCGAAGGAAAGGACCGTCTCTGTGCCGGCGGTACAGATGTCAGGCTACGCACACACGGCGCAGCTCGGGAGCTGCCAGACGGAGGCCGGACCCGCCTTACCCCACCTCGGCCGCACGTTGCACTGCCCAGCACCTAACCCCGGATTCGCACGGGGCTCGCTTAAGCAGGCGGTGCTTACACCAGCACGTCGGCCCCGGTGCTGCGGTCCCTGCGGATCTGCCGCGGCACCCGCCCCAGTAGGACCCGCTCTGCTCCCGCACAGCGACGCTCCGGGCGCCGCCGGCAGCTCGCCACCCGGCGCGCCGCGCCCTGACCTTGGCCCGGGCGCCCGGCCCCGCCGCCGGGCGGCCCCAAGCCCCTCTGCCCCGCCCGCCCGCCCGGCGCCCGCCCCGCTCACATGTCGGGGTTCCGCTTGAAGGCGTTGCGGATGTCTTTCACCACCCGCTGTACCAGCACCGCCACCTCCTCCGGCGACTCGGCCATCTTCCGCAGCCGGCCGTGCCGTGCCGCGCCGCGCCGGGCGGGCAGAGCGCTTCCGGGTCAGCGGCCGGCGGGCGCCACGGGGATGGCGCTGCCGGAGCGGAGCGGGGCGGCGGGGGCGGTACGGCCTCGGGCCGTCTGGGCCTGCGGGGGAGCCGTGCGGCCTCCTGCGGGAGGGGCGGGCCCAGCCCCGCCTCGGGCGGCTCCGGGAAATCCGGGAAGAAAAGTCTGTAACTCCTGTGCGGTGTTAGGAAGTGGCATTCCTTTATTCTTCACGATACCTACCGGGCGACTCGACAAGCTGGTGCGCGCTCTGAAGTCCTACACCTGAACAGCTCAGACATACATATGCAGTGCACTGGCGTACGCATTCATTCCTTTTCAAGGACTTGTACACGTGCTCATGTCCCTTTGGGCATGCCCAGTGGTATTCAGGCTGGTCGAGTGCCCACGTGCTTGTCCCCCTTTTTTCATGGTCAGCTTCATCATCGAATCCTTTGACTCATTTCTATCCACTTTTCCCCAGTTTGGAAGATTCCCATTGCTTGTTAGGCCATACTGAACCACCTTTCAAAAAGTAGAACCTGAGGAAAATGTCCTTGCACCTATTGAGGCAAAATATAAAAGAAAGCATTCTGTTGTGACTCTGGCGCTTCCTGTGAGGCAAAATCATTGTCTGTTATATTACTCTGATGATTTCTTAGTGAGTTATAAATGTCTTCATTCCATGCAAACAAATCAGCCTCACAGAATCTTGGAGATTAAGGCACTAATGAAGTATTTTGTGCCCACAGAAAAACTCATGAAAGCTACCCAAATAAAGGAAAATCACCTATGTAGGTGTGGTCCCAGAACATAAATTTGAATGAGTCTTAATAAGGCTACATGGAAAACCTCAAATTCGCATGTGTGCGTGATACTTAATAATTCCTGTTAATCTTACTGTAACTGATTACTTACACAGCAGTTAGCTGAAACAGTGTACTATGTTATATGTTGATTACACATTCAAGATATACATATCACTGCAAAGTTCTGTTCTCAATGTCCTGAAAATTGCTTTAAAGTAACTGATGTACTTATAAGTGGCAAAAGTAGTTAATTAGGATAATGCAATCAACTGACAATGTACAGTAGGTGAGCATGCATTTTGAAGAGGTCTGCATATTGAATTGCTACTCTTACTCAAATATCACAATAAAAATATATTTAAATTGTATAATTTAGGTACTTATTGTCAAATTATATAAAGCAGGTTTGGGTATTAGTTTTGCATACAATTATATACAGTAGCTTTCAGGTGTATTCACTGAGTTGAAAGTGAAGCATACTTGATCCAATTTGAGGGCAATTGTAATAAATTATTTCAGCAATTATTTTAGCCTTGCTAAGCTTAATGTAAGGCACATGAGTAAGCTGTAGAAACTATGCCGTCATGAGATAATCTAAAAGTTTACGTACCCTTTTCACAGGAAATAAATTTCCTTGGGTAATCTGGGAATATAGATTATGTTATGTGACTATGATATTGGACGAGGTGTCAAAAATCTTGGAAATAATTTGATTGAGGTAATGCTTCTATGATGAGTACAGAGTAATATGTTTTAGTAGCTATCCAAAGTGATATAACAAACCTGCTTTATAAGCATAAATAAATAACTAAGCGCCATAATCTCTCAACTGAGATGCAGTTCAGCAGGCATGAAATGAAACTAAGATCTTCGTAGTCAGCTTTGCAGAATATGCCTGATGGTCTTGGTTCATTTCTGTGACCCTCAACTATTTTAATTTGTTATTGCTTTATAAGCAAGTTAAATCATAGAATGCCTTGGGCAAGACCTTAAAGATCATCCATTTCCAACCCCTTTGCCATGGGCAGGGCTGCCCCCCCCCACCAGCTCAGGCTGCCCAGGGCCCCATCCAACCTGGCCTTGAGTGCCTCCAGTGATGGAGCACCCACAACTTCTCATGCCCATGCCTTCAGTAAAGAATTTCCTCCTAATATCTAATCTAAATCTCTCCTCTTTTAGTTTAAAACTGTTGCCCCATATCCCATCATTATCAGATTGTGTGAAAAGCCAGTCTCCATCCTGTTTATAGGTATTCCCTTTAAGTACTCATCTGCTGCAGGGAAGTTCCCCCGGAGCCTTTTCCCCAGGCTGAGCAAGGCCATCTCCCTGTTTCTCATGTGCTCCTACTCTCTGATCATCTCCTGGACCCATTCCAACAGCTCTATGCTTTTGTTGTGCTGGGGGCCCCACACCTGGATGCAGTACAGTACAGTACAGTGCCCCACAAGGGAAGAGCAGAGGGGGACAGTCACTTCTTTTGCCCTGCTGGCCACCCTTCTTTTGATGCAGCTCAGGATATGGTTGGCATTCAAGTCCTCAAACACATGCCACTGGCTCTTATCAATATTTTAATCCACCAAGACCCTCAAGTAGTTCTCCACAGGATTGATCTCAGTGAATTCTTCCACTTGACTGTACTCATGTCTGTGATTGCCCTGACTTGGATCAGCACCTTGCACTTGGCCTTATTCAACTTCATTTCATTCAGGGGCCTACACCTCCAGCTTTTCCATGTCTCTTTGGATGGTGTTCCTTCCTTCTGTTGTATCAACTGCATAAATCAATAGCATTACTGCGAATTGAAGTATGATAGTTTGCATTAAAACCCCTCACAGTTGAAACTAATCCTGTTCTGGGAGGCTGGACACAGGTGCACGGGAAAAAAAATGGGCACATTCATCTTAGTGATGTTCCATCACTGAAGATGATTATTCTATGTAGATCACATTGCACAGCCAATAGGAAAAGAACTGCGTTAACCCTGTCCTTGTTTTACTTTTATCACAGTGATCATTTGATAATTTGATAGCCATACAGAAGACAGAGAACATTTTTTCAGAATGCAACAGAAAGTCATCCATCTTCAGATTTCTCAGTATTTTTTTTTAATGTCAAAAAATATGATGCATGCATAGTTTATGCCTTGTAGTTATGCACACGTTTGTTTTTCAGGCAAGCAAGCAAAGATTATAACTGCATTAGTATAGTATTCAGATACTGTCAATTACTTCTTATTTTATTGCAAGGAAACTAATTTGTATGAAAAAAATTATCCTAGTGTATTGAGTCAAAATTTTATCTGCCAATATAACGCTTTTACTACAATAAATTACTCCATAATCTAACACCTCCAGAATTCTTACCATAATTACTAACAGTAGTGATTCATCCTGTACAAGTTGTTTAACTCTTACTCTTGTTTGAGAGGGAGGAGGAGTTTATATTCTCTATTAACAGAAACACTAAAAATTGGGGAAAAAAATGACATTTTAATGAACTTTCTAATATATAAATAGTTTAAGTTTTTGTATAAGATTCATACATATATGGGGTATATTATTGTATAACTATGGGGAATGTTTTGGAATGTTTGAAGCTACTTTGTGATTAAAGTGGTATGTGCAATCTTGGTATAAGTCCTAGTCCTAAGCCATATACAAGCCTTGTCCACACCACATTCAAATTTAATTTCAGATGCTGTGCTTACAGAGGTGCTCAATACTGTATGGCAATGCCTTCTGAATTCCTCTGTTGCTCTCACTCACGTTACATTTGTGACTGAAAAAAGCTGGTTAGCAGGCTTCATCTAGCACAACCTTTAATGCAGATGATGACTCTGTCCTTCCTCTGACCAGAGTGCCCCTCACCATATAAACTCAAGCACTAGTCTTACCCCTTAATTGCTGCCAGCAACCTCAAGGCGCAAGAAGAGCTGATGGCAGCATTTCTAATGTCCCCATGAGTCGTGCTGACTGCAACTGCCACTTTATCTCATAACTTTTTAAATATTCCTTGTTTTCTCATGATGATTGCTTCTTAAATTATGAGTAGGTGTAGTGACATGGTTTGGCATATACTGTCAAGTGAGTGGGCTAGCCCCATAGATTTTTCTCTGATAATAATATGGAATTTTCTTTTGTAGTTGCACTCTATATTATTATAGCCCACTGAAGGATGATAACAATTAAAACTAGTTTAATTGGACTATTTTGTCTTGAATTTATGTGTTAATTATTTCTCAGTTTGAACTCTTGCCCTATTCTCATTCCCTAATGCTAGCCAATACCAGTGCCACTAAATATGTTAAGTTAGTCAAAATTGGTACTAGCACACCATCAACCTACTTTCTCAACAGAGAATGTATTTTTTCTGTCTCAGACCTGCTTAATGGAAAATAGATAGGATGATATAAGCATTCAGAAAACTAACTCAATGAGGAATCTTATTTTCAAAAGGAAACACCTTTTTCTTACATCTCTCCCAAATCAGGTGTTTTGCTTAATCTGGACCTTAAACATTATCTCTTTACTTGGCTCACACCTGTGCTTCTTGTTGTTTTGTGTGTTTGCTTGGGTTTGTTTTGTTTTTAAATAGAAAGGATCATACTTCAAATTATGTCCCTTCTTATGGCTGGTACATAGTATTTTGAAAGACACTGTTCACAGAGTCCGGACTTTGAAGAAGTCACAGATACGTACAATTGGTTTCTTTAATAAACAATTATAATGTTACCACAAACAAACGTAAGTTGGAAAAAAGCTGCTAAAGACACTTCTGTCAATTTTCATGCACATGTATCTGAAAATGATACATTCACTGAGGAATGGTTTAGTTATCACACAAAATAACAGAATTGTATGAGTTGGAAGTGACATCAAGAGATCACTGAGCCTCACTCACCAGCCTGTAGTTCCTTGAGTCTTCCTGTCTTCCTTTCTTGAATGTGGGATTGATGTTTCTCTTTTTCCAGTCTCTGAGAACTTCACTTGACAGCCGTGATTTTTCAAATATGATGAAGAGCGTCTTGGCAACAACATCAGCCAGCTGCTTAGAGCCCCAGAATGCATGTAATCTGGCCCTATAGACTGGTACACATTCAGCCTCATGTGGTGGTCTCAGATTTTCTCAGCTCTTACACTGGAAGGGATCTGGCTGCCCCAACCCCTGCTTGGAAGTTTTGG